CTTGACTTCCTAAAAGCATTTGATGGGGTCAACCATATATGTCTTGCCAATAAGCTCAAAAGATTAGGTATCAAATCTCCTCTAATTGATTGGCTCACTTCATATCTAAAAAGTCAACATTCTAAGGTCAGGGTTAACTATGGAATATCCTGGTAGGGTCTCCAGAGTTCAGTACTAAAACATCTTTTCTTGATCTGTATAAACGACCTTCCACAGCAGGTGCCGTCAGATTTATTACTCTTAGCTGATGAACTGAAACCTTGGAGAGAAGTAAGTAACCGAGAGGTTAAAAGGGCACTTCAGGAGGATGTGATTCGAGTTCAAAGTTGGGCAGATTGTGACGGACTTACCTTTAACACTTCAAAGTGTAAAGTAGTCCATCTGAAACATGTTACAGATTACAACCTAGGTAACTCCTCCCCAGAGATACCCGAAGTTGAAAAGCATCTGGAAGTGTTGGTACCCTATGATTTCACGTCTTACGTTTACTGTAACAAAATGCCTCCCGAGCGAATCTTGCACTAGAAACTTTGAAGCGTATCTTCGGCCGTTTCGACGGGAGAACTTTGCACACAATCTTCCACAGTTTCATTCGTCCCAATTTAGAGCACGGAAACATAGTATTTCCCCCTTATCCCAAAATGATAAGTAAACACGTGTCCAGCTCCGAGCCACGAAATCAATTCGAAAGGCGCCTCCAATCACTGAACCTTTACTCATTAGAGTACAGGCTTCTTAGAGGTGACCTTTTAATGGCTTACAGCACTCTGAACATTTCTGGACATCTCCTTAAACACCTATTTAGGCATAGTCCCAACTAAACCCCTAGAACTACACCCAGAAACTGGAGATATAACACAGCAGAATGAACCTTTTACTCCTTACCAGTAGTCAAATGCTTGAATTCGCTGCCGGTTGAGCTAGTCTAAGTAACTTACTAGGAGTCCTTTAAGAGGAAACTTAACATATTCTTAAGGACTAAGGACAGTATCATACTATCATTTACCAACTTTTCTTTTTCCGCTCTTATCCATAATATACCTAGGTCTCCACCTGGAGGTATCGGTGTTTCACTGCCATTAGATACGGAAGCCTGTTAAGTGAAAGCTTCTTCTATTCCGTTCAGAACCATTTGAACCATAAGCATTTACCAAACATGTGCCCACCTTTGTAACCTGATTTGCAGCTGTTCAATTAATTGACATCCATGTTTTCACAAAAACGAGAATTATCATTACTTAAACGCTTACGTGGATGACCTTGAGTACGAATAGGACTAGAATAACCATGTGAAGTAGTGAAACTATTGATGACATGGAACTGGATTTCATGAACTGTTTTATAAGTGATAAACTCAGTTCTAGCATCTTGGAATGATCACTTCGGCATTTGTATAATCTCCCTCGCCCGATTTAGTATGTTAACTCTTGAAATTAATTGATCACGTGGCTGCGCGTGAAGTTGGTATAGTATTCTAATTATAGTATGAATTAGGAATTCCAGGATTAACGCAATTGAATTAAGAAGACACAGGCACAACGAATGTACTGTATTTAGAATTCGAAATCGAGCATTCAACAAGTACAAAAGAATCATTAGTTAATTCAAACACCACATCCGCCACAGCTTAAATAGAAGTATAAGTGTTTGTAATCGGTTGTACGTCTTCTTGTTAAGTTCATCCTGAGTCTGTCCGACATTGCATAAGATAAAAACTTTGTAGTATCTAGAAAGTGCTCATTAGTATTGGAATTAACAAACGAAATCGGAACAGACTCACCTGGAATTGTATACAACCAGCATGTTGGTTTTGTAATGAAATCATTAATATCTAGAATTCGAACCATAGATTTTTCAACACTATCCCCCCCCACGAAATAATGTTGGATCTTTATACTCCCAAGTTATGAATAATGTGGCTTCATTTAAAACATATATCTCACATTGTTTAGAGTAAACATTAGAACTGTTTTTGTGATAAGAGTAAACAGCAGTTGATATGAAATCATCCGAAATATAATAAAACTCGAGGTCACTTAGTACTCGTGCTTCGCATTGAGCAGGTTTTTCACGAAGATCAAATACATTATGAGGATAGGTAATATATGATATGACATCAGGATTTGATTCTTCTGAAATATTCTCATGAAATTCATCAGGACTGTCGTTGCAGAGCGTAGGATCGTTAGAAAAATCAGCATCTATCCAAACCACATCAGGTTTTCGATCATGATTAGGTTCATTTAACATATTTTCCTCTGAATTGCAAGTAATTTCATTAGAAATATGTGAATCATTAGGAAAAGTCATACTTGGTACAATAGCATGAGAATTCTGATAAATCGGTTGATTAGGAAATGTTGTCTCACAAGAATTCTGGAGTTCATTTAACTCTGAACTGCCATATGACTCTGCACTGTCTTTTGAAATCGTTGATAAAGATAAATGATCATCATGAATACTTGACTCAGTAGAATCAGAATTACAAGACTTAATATTAATTGCAGTAAGATGAACATTAGCATTACAAACTGACTGAACTTGTCCAATATCACGACATTTGAAGCATTTAGAATTATGAAATTTACATGAATTAGAAGAGTGGAACTTGCAACAGGACAAACACTGACCAAACTTGTCCCCATCCTCGTGAACTCCATCCAAATTCAATGAATTGTCTGCATAACCTTGAGTATGCACTAGGTTGAGATGACGTAGTAATGTAGTGGACATTTTTATATCCTCATGAATCATTTTACGAAATCTTCCTCCTTTACGACATTTGAAATTTGTATACTGAGCATAGTCTAGCAGTAGATCCTTGAGAGCTGTATAAGAAAGCGAAATGGGTTTTTCCGGCATAGCCAGAGTTCTTAATAAGCTGTATGCTTCTTTTCCAATGAATGTGAGGAAGTGTGCCACAATATTAACATCTTCATCATCTTCCTTGGTCATAGCCCAGATTTCGAACCTTTCAAAGTAATCTTCAAAAGCTTCTGAAGTTAAATGAATATCTAACTTTTCCATTGCAGGCTCCATCGCGACGCCAATATAGTATTCTAATTATAGTATGAATTAGGAATTCCAGGATTAACGCAATTGAATTAAGAAGACACAGGCACAACGAATGTACTGTATTTAGAATTCGAAATCGAGCATTCAACAAGTACAAAAGAATCATTAGTTAATTCAAACACCACAGTTGGTCAACATAATTACACTTGGTGTCTTGTTTCTACAACTCAAGGATGCATTCTCCAACCTTTTGGCTCTCCTGACGAAACATTTTACGAGGTTTCGCTCTTCCATGGCATTAGAAATTAGTATGCTTTACATGATTTAGTAGAAGCTCTTTAGGAGTTGCATAGGAAAATGAAATAGGCATATCTGGGAATGCCAAGTATTTTAGTAAGTTGTAGGCATCCTTTCCGATGAGTGTAAAGAAGTGAGCCTCAACTTTACCATCCTTGTCATCTCTCCTGGTCATACTTCAGATTTCAAACCTATCCATGTGATCTCCGAGAGCCTCAGAATTCGAATGTATGTCCAACCGTCCAACCGCAGGCTCCATCGCGATACCAGAGTAGATGATCTATGTCGAATAATTGAGGGCCTACTAGAGTTAGACGGGAACGGTGTGACGAATCAGTTAACCTCGAAGACACACCTCACGGTCAACATCTTACGTGGATTACCATACCAGCGTATCAAGGTACTATAGAAGCTTTGAAGACTGTACAACACAAAGGATGTTACTACAGAAACATATAAGTTAAAGTAGATACAAGCGAAAGTAAGACCACCGCCGCATATGCCAGTCCATGGAGTATGATTAACTGAGGCGCATTGGTTGCCTTTGACCATGACGAGGATTGATGATTTGTTTAATATTCAATGACCCAACTGCCGGATGATTTGGCTAAGGCTCAATGACATTTCACTGGCCATACAGTTGAACTAGGTTAGCACAAATGAACGTATTATGTTTGTAATTCGTAATGGGCGGACAATCATGTAAAGAAGCATCGTACAGATACCACATGAACTGAGTGAAAAATACCTCATTAACCATGAAATCACCTTAGATTCATCTACAGAGCATATGGTCTATGGAAAAGCCCGTAAGGCACCTAAGATCGAGTGATGGAACTTATATATGTGAAAGTGAGATTCAAAAATTACCGTATTCCTCTTTCACCATGGAACCGTTTAAATTGTCCAGACATACTCTTTTCCATAGAAGAGATTCATATGTAGAGCAATACTTGGACATAATATTAGTTCATTTTCAAGTAAATGACAAAACGTTTAGTACGTCAGACTTTCATCAACATGAAAGGAGTCACCAGAAAACGTGACTTTTTATAATTTGTATCTTAGAACCAAATGTCTGTATCAGACTGATAATCTGCATTACCATCTATAGTTTTTGAAAGGCAGTGTTATTAAGAATCCGATTGTGCTGTGAAACGTTATGACCACTGACGAAATTCGTACCACATCGCCAACCCGACGAATGCTAATTTTATCATTCATAAATAGTTTGAATCATCCATCGACCCCTATCATTTGCAGGTGACGTGAATATATGAAGGATGACATAGGACAGACTCCAGCTGAATAAAGCAATATTGTACAACCACCGCCCAGTAGAACTAATTAAAATTAAGTCTGTCATGGGAACTCCTTGTCTCTACACATTGGATGCTTTCACAGTATCGTTCTATTGACAAAGAGATTATTCTTACGTCACTGTAAGTAGTGATTCCAGGGTTCTCGTGATATTCTGGAGCGCATTCAAACAAAGTCTAGTGAACTAAAATCGTAAATATGCATTTTTGACATATTTTGCCATCTTTGCTTACAAAGTTGAGAGCTTAAAATATATTTTGGTAGCATTTGCTAGTTGCATAAAAAACCTATGAAATTAGTACAAGAATTAGACACTGAGTAGTCTGTCGTATTTTCAAATTAGTTTCGATTGTCTGTAGAGTTCAGATATGCAAGGTGTTGCTGCATCTGTGACTGATACCCTAGGAAATATCAAGTAACTTTTCAACTTTCCATGTACATAAATTTAGACCATGGCTTCAGAAAGTAACAGCTCAATCAAAGCCTACGGATGCTCGGTACTTCACGACAACGAAAAAAGGTAATTTTACTGAGTATACAATCATAAATTAGGTGAAATTTTTGAGCTGAAAGCCGAATTGAATAGTGAGCGAAGAGAAAAAAAGAAGGAGGCTGTTAAAAAGGTCATAGCCAGTATGACTGTAGGTAAAGATGTTAGGTACTCAATCCTCGGATATGCATCATACATCTTTAAGTGCTTTGTTTCCAGATGTAATCAACTGTATGCAAACTGATAATTTGGAACTTAAGAAGCTAGTATACCTGTATCTTATGAATTACGCCAAGACACAGCCTGATACTGCAATAATGGCTGTGAATACCTTTGTAAAAGTAAGTTTCTACTAACTGAATTTATTTTTTTAGGATTGCGATGATCCCAATCCACTTATCAGGGCTCTTGCTGTGCGAACAATGGGCTGCATACGTGTGGAGAAAATAACTGCCTATCTCTGTGACCCACTCCGTAAATGTCTTAAAGACGAAGATCCATATGTCCGCAAGACAGCTGCTGTTTGTGTAGCAAAGCTGCATGATATAGATGCTCAGTTAGTGGAAGATAGTGGATTTTTAGAACTTTTGAGGGATTTGTTATGTGACAGTAATCCCATGGTAGTCGCTAATGCTGTCGCATCAATAACTGAAATATTGGAGATGACAAATTCTGATTCTGCAAGGTCCTTACTTGCCTTCGATGGTCCAGTAATTAACAAACTCCTGACAGCTCTTAATGAATGCACTGAGTGAGCAGTTTAATTTGGTAGTTTATGTCTGTATTATAATGTATTTTGTTAGACTAATTCACATTAACTTCCGCTATAAGCAAATGATACTATTAACTGAACTCATGGCAGAGGTCGATTATTGTGTTAGTAAAAGACAGTCTTCTTTTCATGTTATAGTTTCTGTTACCATGAAATACTTGTGATTACGCTTGTGGTCACGTTTATGCAGTGTTGGCGACTTTGAAGTAGTTAAAAACATTGGTCTGAATGAATTAATTTCACTCACCTGGTAACTGGTAGTAATGCTGTTGACTTCATATTGGCCCACTAATTAATTAATGTTTGCACTGACTATACACGAACAAAAGTTGCATAATACTAATTCTTTTAAACCTTCCCCTTTATTGCCACTTCCTTAATTTCGGTGCGAAACTGAAAGTGAGACAAAATAAGCAAGTCAAATATCTGAAGGAAGCCCTCTTTATGACCTTCGTCCTAGCTCATGTGTTAAAATATAATTCTACTTGCGGAGATTTTGGAAACTGGTTGGTATTATCCTGTACTTTACATCCGTTGACTTTTTCTCCCTTTTTATTATCTTTATTTTCCGCCATTCTTATTACTGTTGTTTTGACTTCCTTGTATCTCCTCTGATTTGTTTCCTCTAGATACTACTAGTGCTGAGTGTGGCGTGTTGAACCGATATAATCGGTAAGACTTCGTGTCATATGATAGGTTTGATTTGAAGTATTGCGTAAACCTGAAGTGATCCGTTAACCCAATAAATATTTGAAGGACGATAGGAATTAGTAGGACAAGCATTATAGGTCCCTAGATATATATAGCTTTAAATTTAGTGAATAAGACTAAGATACTTGCTTAATACATCATTATTTTACTTAGACTTCCATTACATGAGATGCGGTAGTTCAGCATGATTTTATAACGCTTGTTTTCACTACGTTTTATACTCTAGGTGGGGACAAGTTTTTATACTTGATGCGATTGCAGATTACACACCTGGTGATGATCGTGAGGCACAAAGTATCATCGAACGCGTATCTCCAAGACTAGCACACGCAAACGCTGCTGTCGTTCTATCAACTGTTAAAGTCATTATGAAAATGTTGGAAATGGTTGATCCTACTTCCGAAACTGCATCGACTGTAATTAGAAAGTTGGCACCCCCACTAGTAACATTACTTTCTGCGGAACCGGAAATTCAGTATGTAGCTCTGCGCAATATTAACTTAATTGTTCAAAAGCGTAGAGATATTTTAAAGCAGGAGATAAAAGTAAGCAGTTGTAATATTTAAAGCCATTTTATTGGTATGTTTGTTTGGTGCTAGAAACAGTTCATACTTTGTAGATCAATGTGTACAAAACCCTCTTTTAAGTACGTATCTGAACTCGGACCATGGTTTAGTCTGTACCAATCTTATCCTGAGATTTGGTGGTCAATAAATGTCTTGTCCTAAACGGAAATAATATATGCAAATCGGTTGTAACTTCCGTCACCACCATATATCCAACCGAGCTGGGCTCAAAGTTGGTGGTCAGTCTGCGAGAGTGTATAGTAAATTTTACAAACGTTGCACAAAGACCTAAAAGCCTGATGGTCAGGGTGTTCTAACGAGTTAGAAGTAGCAGCTGCACCTGGCGACTGTTGGAAGCTATTTCAACATATCCGAACCACTGGTAGCAAGGGGTCTGGTGTGAGTGGAACGATCTGTGAGGCTGATGGAGCTCCAACTAGTGCCATTCACCAAGGAACAGTTTAGCTGGCTTTTTTTCTGCCTATCAACACTGATCAGACTGTCCTACCCTACGCAAGGTAGGCTTGACGCAAACTAAACCACAATCTGAGTCCAAACATAACTGAGCTCTCAAGATAGATGAGCTACTGGGGCAGTTGGAAAATGAAGGTAAACATAGGATGGAAACAAAGCGGAATAGGAAGTGAAGCAAAGTATGACAGACTTTTATTTAATAAAGAACAGTTATCGCTTGAGTTAGTATGAAAAAAGAGCACGTAGATCAGTTTATTCATAATTTTCGACCATAATATTTATGTATGGTCTGGGTTACTTCTCCGGCACCGCCCCCAAATGCCCCGGTACGGCCGAGAGTGGAGAGTTAGTTCTCCCTCTCCAAACGCTCTCACATGGCCACGCGTATACAACCACTGCCGGGGAAGTCCTACTCACTGTCTTCTAGTGACAGGGGTGTCCGACGCCTTAACCGGGTTGGTGGACACGAAGGGTTCACCTAGGGGAGTTGGATAACCCTCATTCCAAACCATTGGTGAATATGAACTCCAGGATCCTAAGGAAACAAATGGAGTATGAACCAATTATTGGTCACCGGACACCATTGGACTGCATTTCCTGACGTTGCTCCACTGCCTTGTGGATCAGACATTTAGGTCGAAGGCTCCGGGTGTGGCCCTTTAAGCAAACCATCTGCTTCGGTCTGGACACCCGGGCAGTATCATGGCCCACACACAAATCAAGTGACTTGTATGGCGCATATGTATTTGGTGCCCCTTCGTACCAATATTTGTGTTCAAATAAATAAAAATACGCACCCGAACCACAAGCAGGTGATTTGCCCAACGTGGTACCCACCGAAATGCCATTCTATAGTAGTCGGTAGCCAAAATAGCTTCATAGACCATTGTTATGATGGGTCGTCAATTGCTATGATTACGTCGGAATCGCTCATTACTTATACTTGTAAAACAATCAACCACTACAATTTCCATGACGCGAAGTAACAACCACAAGACTGGTACAAATGAAGATCTATTAAATCCAAAACACTACGACCCTAGTCAAAAGTACACCCATTTTGATTACTAATTAGGATGAAATCTTATATGTGAAAAAATACCCAAAGTTATAGCAAATCACATACTGCGTGTCATGCTGAGCATTCTTCATGTTAATTCAATGCAAAAATGTATCTTCAATAAACATTACATTCAATTGGATCAATATTGTACCGAATAAAATATCACATTGGAAAACAAAGCAAATATTACACTGAGTAATCATCACATTGAACTAAAACGGAAGTAATGTTGAACAAAAATCACAATAAATAAAAAAACGTAATTTTGTTCTTTAATCCCATCATATCAGCCATTCGTTCCCGGAGTGTCCTGGAGCCTATGTGCAGTACTGGTTCAAAATCAGTGTGTTCACACTCCGTATTTACCAACGTCCGTCTTCCATCCTTTCATTTCCGTAAACAGCACCCCTCGCTGCCTAGAGGTAATGACTAGAACTTTCCCGTTAGATTCTATAGACGCATAACCGTACGGAAGCATTTCAAATACGAGGATATGTTCTTCCCACCCTCTGCCTTACCAGGTGATTCTTGGAACTTATCTAGGCGTCGTCGCGATGTTCGTCTAGTTGTAAAGGGGCGGACCTACAACACTTTTGTAAGAGAAGTTTTGTTCAGTTATGACACCTGAGCTCTCCGAGTTGGGGATGTTAGTTGTTGTGTCTTTATGACCCGCTAGTTATCACATAATTTATTCGCCAATCAAAATGCGACTTGTTCGCCCTTGTGTTGTACTAAACCAATGACGTCCGTTCGGTCTGATCAGCCTAGCGTCCTATTGGTCCAGTGCTCGCTTAGCCTGTCCAGCTGAGTCCAGAATGCCAACAACAGCCTCCACTATACGAATCATTTATTTCAGACATACTGGGTTTATGTATCAACCAAACAGACCGCAACGCACCATGAAATAGAAAATAACACTCGTACAACATATAGCCAAAGGTGGTTGTGGACGTGCGAGATAGTAATTAATAAACTGAGTATAACATAAGAATAGCAAATCGTACAGTAACAATCTATAAGTCAAAACGAAGCTTATAATAAGGGGAATATAGATATGCATAATCTGATTACTAAATAGTTATACCATAAGAATATATGGATAATACTAGTCCATTAATAGACCTCAGAAGTTACTCGTAATGTAATCTTCACTAGGATATAACGTTAGGCAACTCTGTGTTGTAGTGGTAAGATTCGGTAACACATGTTGGAGCACACTGATGATAATTCAGTTGGTGTCATCATTTTGATACATCAGCCTCAGTGGATGGCATGTTTTGCGAACGTCATCCCAGCGGTCTCCACATCGTACATTATTTACTGACACTGGGACAGAATAAAAAGAGCTAAGAGGTCATTAGTATATGGCATGGCGTCCACATCCTCGATCCGGACTCTAGGTATGGTGCAACTCAATGGCTTGAGATCTTGTCAGACGTGGCTCAGAATCGAAACGAGCGGTAATCCTGCTATGGTTTTCTTCTACATTTTCATAAAAGTGTAAGTAACTTACCTAACTGATGCTTTTTGCTTGTATTTTTATCTGAACGGTATCTCCTATCATATTCTGTTCTTGTTCATTTTTTTTCGGTTGACCTTTCTTAATGATATTTCTTTATCTGTGTGGCTCATGCTTTTTTAGTGTTTAGTTGTACCGGAATTTAGATGTGTATAAAATAAAAGTGGTTTATTCACTTTCATAGATAAGGTTATTTCTATATTAGTAACTGTCTTTTCCAAGAAGTAAACTTGTCGCTTGTTTTAAAAAAGTAATATTGTTATCATGGATATAATCCTTAGTCTAGTCAGTTTTGAGTGCTGTTAGAGGTATGTAGGCGGTTATCACTTCCCGGTTGCCCACACCGTGGAAGGGTTCTTCTGGAGGTACCTGAAAAGGAAATTGGATTAGAGGTGATCTTAGTGACCGCAGTGCCCAAGAGACAACTGCTTGAGGTCGATCACACACGACCTTTTTATGGGTAATTTTTGTATTAGCTCCGTACTTGTTGAGACCTTACCGCCGGAGACGGATATCCGTGGGACAAGGCGAAGTGTTTATTTTTAGGGTCGACCTTTTCTAACCCCACCTCTCCTTGTGGGAAGGCAGCATCGCTGTCATGCTGGTTGTCTGAAGGAAACACCTTACTGCTGTCACACCTATGTACAGTCAGCAGTACGACTTCGCCTTCGGACTTTAGGTTTGTTGCTAGACTTTACTTTCAATAATTATATCGTGTGTTCAAACCACACTTCCTCTACCAAGTTTTCGATAATCAAGTTTTGTTAACCTTCATTATAGAAATGGCTATGTTCGTTGATGAATTTACGTAGTTATTGATTTCATTTTGTAGGCTTTGATGTAGCTGTTATTTGTGGTATGACATCATTTGGTGATATCTCTTCATTCTCTATTAAGGCTTAAAAGAAGTTTATATTTCAGGTATTTTTTGTCAAGTATAATGACCCGATCTATGTGAAACTTGAGAAGCTAGATATAATGATACGTCTCATCAATCAGTCTAACATTGGTCAGGTGCTTGCTGAACTGAAGGAATACGCAAAAGAAGTTGACGTGGATTTTGTCCGAAAAGCTGTTCGTGCAATAGGGAGATGTGCTATCAAGATTGAATCTGCCGCGGAGCGTTGTGTGTCTGCATTAATTGATCTTATCCAAACAAAAGTTAATTATGTCGTTCAGGAAGCAGTTGTAGTGATCAAGGTAAATTTAACCTATGATTTCTTGGAACCATGTGATGATTTTATTTTATGTAATTATCGCAGCTGAATCTGTTATCTTTACATTTTATATATCCCCGAAGTACTTTGCTGTGTGCGATATACGATCGTATTGGGTGTCTTTGCTGGATTATATCGAAAAAGGAATCCCGCTTCAATGGTTCTTATGAGCGCTCTTATTCACATTGAATTTAAGATTGTCCTATTTCCTTGAAATGAAACCAAAAAAATCAATATGTTGTCTCACATACACATAAAGATTTTTGCTTGTCTTTTGATTGTAGTCTCTGTTGCTTAACATATTTCTCTTTGAAATTTTCAAGTGCACGTAAATCATTAGTTAGGCTTAGAAAATATGGCTTTGCATAGTTTATTAAATTCAAATACTACTTTAGTGTCCAATCATCTTTAACTGTATTTGGTCAGTTGAAGCAACTACTTCGATGAATTTGGTGTTCATCATGTTATGCTAATGATGGGTGGCAACTTGGACCGATGTATATATGTACCCGGTTCTACGTTGTAGTTGGCTGAACTGTATTTGATCCAGACTTTTAGGAAAGAAGCAACCTTCCTGAAAATAATCTTATTATTTATTATTTTATTTTAACACATAGATATTGGTACGAAGGGGCACCAAATACATATGCGCCATACAAGTCACTTGATTTGTGTGTGGGCCATGATACTGCCCGGGTGTCCAGACCGAAGCAGATGGTTTGCTTAAAGGGCCACACCCGGAGCCTTCGACCTAAATGTCTGATCCACAAGGCAGTGGAGCAACGTCAGGAAATGCAGTCCAATGGTGTCCGGTGACCAATAATTGGTTCATACTCCATTTGTTTCCTTAGGATCCTGGAGTTCATATTCACCAATGGTTTGGAATGAGGGTTATCCAACTCCCCTAGGTGAACCCTTCGTGTCCACCAACCCGGTTAAAGCGTCGGACATTCGCTTTTCATCCTCTGAATTTTGTAAACAGCACCCCTGTCACTAGAAGACAGTGAGTAGGACTTCCTCGGCAGTGGTTGTATACGCGTGGCCATGTGAGAGCGTTTGGAGAGGGAGAACTAACTCTCCACTCTCGGCCGTACCGGGGCATTTAGGGGCTCTGAAAATAATCAGCCCGTTTACTACTGAACATTCAACCATTGGGACCTTAGTTCGAATCCTCTTTGGTCAATCAAGGTTTTTTCAGGATTTTTATTGGTTTGTGTGCTTGATAAATCAATGTGTTCTATTAAATCTTCATTTTTCAACACTTGATCAATATCTTTCTGCGTAGACAAAACTAGTGTGTGTCTATTTCTCACACCTTATTTGTTTTTGATTGTAAATGTCATAAAAAATTTCCACTCAATGAATATAGTTCAACCCCAGTAAATAAATACATGTTTGTTTGATTCTTTTGTGTACCACATTGAAAATACCCTGTTACAAATACGAAATAAATCATCCAGTGGTTGTACTGCAAATATGTAAAAGATTGTCATATACTTGATTCTAATTTACACAACTCCCTTTGGCAAATTGAAGATTGTTTTGTTTCGTCTGCGTTAATGTCTAAGTTAATAGAGTGTAAAGTAATTAAGTCGACCACTTCACTTACATTGTAAGCCTAATCTTCACTTGTCAACGTGATTACGACCAACCACTGGCCCACTTTGACGCGTGGTGTAGAAGTTGGAAGAAAGCCAGTAAAAGCTAAACCAAGACATGGCGTCAGCCCACAGTCATTAGCTGTTGTTGGGCAAAGTTGTGTAGGTAAGTCCAAATGCATCCACTTTTTATTTCAAAGTACCTACATTTTTTATTCCACAAATTCATTCATCCCTCTATAATCTTTTCTACTACTGATCCTGTTACCACTTTTACTACACTTGATAACTTCGTCTCGCTGTCCTAATTTAATTTTAGTAACTTGAACCGGTGCACGTATGCATCAGTTTCTTTGCTCATGATTGACTGATTTCTAGAAGAAAGCTCATCTAAGAAACATTCTAATTTCATCGTTTACAATTGATGTGTTTTATTCCTATTTTTTACCTCCAGTGTTATCACATAAATGACTTGACATTCAACCTTTGTTTGTGCAAAACATGGTATTTTCACCATTTTTTCCAAATCTTACATGTTTCTTTGTCTTCGGGTTGAACAAGTTATCAAGTAATATGGCTATCAGCATTTGGAGTCAACAAACACATGTTGCGTTCCGTAATCTTTGGAATCAGTAATATTCCATTTACAACTTCTGTTTCTATGGAATTCTAAATCCGAATTCAAAATGTTTGTTTGTCAATTTAATTTTCATTTCTTGCCCTGACTTGTAAGTTTAAGATTTTCGAAATATTTTAAGCTTAAGTATATTTTAGTAAATATAGTTCCACATAAAATTTTAATTAAAATATCTAGTATTTCATACTATAGTTCTACACTTACTAATTTTTATTTTGAAGGACATATTTAGGAAGTATCCGAATAAATACGAGAGCATCATCTCCATCCTGTGCGAGAATCTTGATACATTAGATGAGCCTGAAGCACGTGGGTCAATGATTTGGATCATTGGAGAATATGCTGAAAGAATTGATAACGCTGATGAACTACTTGAATCTTTTCTAGACGGTTTTCAGGATGAAAACACCCAGGTTCAGTTACAGCTGTTAACTGCAATAGTAAAGCTATTTCTTAAAAGGCCGTCTGATACACAGGTAGTACATGGTAAATGTTTTTTTGTTTTTATGTGATTCTTATGCTTGTTTAAAAATTTTTGTTATAATTTAGTAACATTTGGGGTTTTGTAATTATTAAGATCCCAATGAGTATGTAACTTTTCAGATGTACGCAGCCTAAATACATGCCTTACATTTTCCTCAGAAGTCTGCACGATAGAAGTATCAGTTCATCGTATTAAAATCATTTTTATAATTGAAATATACAATCAGAACCCCATAAAGTATTTAGAATAAACATCCGATCTATGGAATCCTCCCTGGCTTTTCTCTTAAGTATACATGCTAAGTACATTTCCTAAACTTTGAGTATAGTTTATTCGGTTTTACTAGTAAATCCAGGAATATTAATTATTGTTACGATCCAACCAACACCATTTTGACACTAATTTGAAATTCCTATCATTACGATGGACCCCTATATTTTTTGCTGCAGTTGTTTTGTTCACATAGTACCAAATTATTCATGATTATCTTTTCCGTTCATATAAATCTATGGTTAACGTCATGTAACAACAGTTCTTCGACCAATGTTACTTGAAATTCAAGCTACCTAAAGTCTGTTTACTAAAGCAACTTAACTAATATTTGCCGAACATGTTTTACGTTACACAATTATAGATTTTCGGTTTTCTAAGTGTTTTAACTAGTTTTAATGTCCTTTTGTTCAGGAACTTGTCCAAACTGTCCTTGGTTTAGCTACACAAGAGTCTGACAACCCAGATCTTCGTGATAGGGGTTATATCTATTGGCGTTTACTGTCTACAGACCCGGCAGCTGCTAAAGAAGTTGTACTCGCAGAAAAACCACTTATTTCAGAGGAGACAGATATGCTTGAACCAACGTTATTGGATGAACTCATTTGTCACTTAGCAAGCCTAGCTAGTGTTTATCACCGGCCACCAAGTTCTTTTGTCGAAGGTAGGCATGTAGCTCGGCGTCAACTTCCAGCACGCGTAAATGGGGTCTCCTCGGCGCCTGGAGCAAATTATGGTGATTCACAACAAGTAGATGTTCCAGCTCCTACGGTTATCCCAACTCAGGTTTGTTTTTTTCCCAGAATTCTCATAAGTTGTATTTCTCTACACTTTACATAATAAGTTAAAGGTGACTTATATGTATCAGGCAGTTTTAACTGTATATATTTACTATTTCTTGGTGTCGGAAATAAAATCAGTTTTCTTAGTTTGCATTACGTGATTTTACAGAGTTCAATGTTTCTGAATTTCAAGTTGGATATTAAGTGTCTATAAATTATAAAATTCTGAAGGGTATCATAGAAAATTTCTATTCTCGCTAAGAAATTGTAGCTTCCAGTAGTTGAGATCAATCTGTTGAGGCTTCCCATTTCAATGCCTTAATACCTCAGTTCAACTTGAGATTATAACTTCCTCACAGTCGTTGCTTCTAGGGAGAGAATATCATGTCCCACTTTTCATCATCGTCATATGAACCATTCTCTTAAGTCCTAATTTCTGATTGCATATAGTTTCATGGGGATCAGTCTTCAGAAATGTGCTGAATTTTACTAAGGTTTCCACAATGAATTGGTTATGTTGCCCGGAGAGCACACTTATTGCTTTTATCTTATAACTTAGCATATAAGGGCTCTCCACTTGTTTATTTATTGCACTCATTCACAAGTTTCAATCGATAAGTAAGAAAGTCTGAATATACAGATGTTAAACAATTTACAGTAATTGCCGCCTAGAGGATTCTAATATCATTTTATGTTCTATCTTCAAACCAGGAGACATTAATTGGGGACCTATTGGATATTGATCTTGGAAGTGGGCCATCTACATATGATTCAACGATGCACCAGTTCTCTCGCCCTCCTGTACCAAATACTGGATATAGTTCAGCGACCCCTGATCTTTTGGGTGATGGCTTAGACGATCTCTTACCTGGTGTTACTAAAACTCATCCAAATGAAGAACAGAAGACTCAATCTGGAGGAGGTAATATATATATATTTATTTTTTCTAATGATCAATTTAAATAAAAAGTCATTCCATTGTATATTGTTTGTTGGACAACAAAATATTTTCTGTATGCAACTTTACTAGAATGTGCTAATGTAACTTCAATTAAACTTTATCAGGATATTTCCAAATTTATTTTTAGTTTGTCTCGTATTATTTATTTATTTGAACACATAAATATTGGTACAAGAGAGCGCCAATATATATGCGCCACACAAAACAATGAGAATTCGAAGAGAAGTAGAAAGAAAAAAAAACTAAGGAACGCAAAAGAAAAAGAGAACAATGACGAAGAGATTGGAGTAAGGTAGTGTGGTAGTAACGACGGAACGAAAAGGTACGATCAGAAATCTTTCAGGTAAAGGAGACACAACCACTTTTTATGAAGAAAGTAAAAGAAGGTTACAGCATGATCGCCACTGGCTTCTATTCTGAGCCATATCTGATAACGTCTCTAGCCACTGTGTAGCACCATCTCTCGGACCCCAGCCAGGGAGTCGTGAAGGACCAACACAAGCCAGTCCTTTGCAGCTTTCTTTCATGCCACGACACCATGTCATGCACTGACCACCTCTCCGCTTCGTCCAACCAGTCCCAGAGTAGGCAAATAATGCACGACGTGGAATTCTCTGGGACGACATTCGGAGAACATGTCCAAGCCACCGAAGTCGGTGTTTCAAGATGGTGACACCAATTGAGTTATCATCTCTGTGCCCGAACACACGATGCCGAACCTCTGCATTACTGACATGGTGTTGCCACTGAGTGTCAGCAATCCTTCGGAGACAGCGATGACCGAACACAGAGAGTCGTCTAACGTCCTCAACTCGGAGAGGCCAGGTTTCACAAGCATAGAGCAAAACTGCTCTCACCGACGCGTTGTAGATCCGGCCTTTTACAACCAGACTGACATCACGAAGGCGCCAAAGGTGGCCCAGATTGGCATAAGCCGCTCTGGCTTTCACTATTCGTGCATTGATCTCATCACTCACACCCCCACCAGCACTTATGCAGCTACCCAGATACACGAACTTCTCAACTACGTCTATCTGCTCACCATCCAGGGTGAGTACAGGACTAGAATCCTGCCAGTCTTGTAGAAGTACTTTGCACTTCGAAGGTGCAAAGCACATACCATACCTACGGACACTGATTGCCAACTGATTAAGTGCGGATTGCATACCTTGGGCATTATCGCACAGTAAGACAATATCGTCCGCATACTCAAGGTCGAGAAGTCTTTCTCCAGGCAACAGATCCACACCACCATTACTTACATTCATCAGAACTGTTTCCAGAATGTCATCGATGGCAAAGTTGAAGAGGAATGGTGAGATTGGGCAACCCTGCCTAACCCCACTGCTCGAATGGAACAACGGAGAGAGGTGGTTGTATGCCCTCACTCTGCCTGAGGTGTTTGTATATAGGGATTTTAGGATGTTAATAAACTTCTCAGGCACACCCTTCTTCAATAGACAATCCCAGAGAACAGTCTCATCCAACGAATCGAAGGCAGCCCTGATGTCAAGAAACACTACGATTGTTGGCCTTTGAAAAGTATGGCGGTGTTCTAACATTTGGCGGAGGGTGAAGATATGATCAATACATCCTCGACCAGAACGAAACCCAGCCTGCTCCTCGCGAGTCAATCTTTCTCGGGTTTTGAACAACCTATGAAGTATGACGGAAGCCAATAGCTTGGACGCAATCGGAAGTAAACTTATCCCCCGATAGTTGTTACAGGAACGACGTGAACCCTTTTTAAAGATAGGGACAACTATCGACTCATTCCATGACGTTGGTACACTCTCTAGTTCCCAAACCTTTGTAAACAACGTCGTCAATTCCTTAGTCAAAAAGTCACCACCATCTTTAAAAAGAGCCGGAGGTAAGTCATCTGGGCCAGGTGATTTGTAACGCTTCAAGAGTTGGAGTTCCTTGCGGACTTCCTCCTCATTTGGTGGATCAGTCGTCACCGGCCATGGAGGGCAGGACAGTCTGACCGATGTTGCCGGAGCAGCAGGCCAGTTGAACTGCCCTTCGAAAAATTCTGCCCACCGTCCAAGACGTCGATGGATGTTAGTGATTGGCATCCCATCATCCTCGCAGATTGTTTCACTCACACCAGACTTCTTGCTGCCAGTGGCTCGGATGAGCTGGAAGAGCTTCCGGCAGTTACCAGATGCAGCTGCTGCTTCCAGCTCATTAGCACGCATCGACCACCAGGCTTCTCGGTCCTTACGCAAGCTTTGCCCAATTTCTTTACGTAACATCCTTCGTTTATGGTCAAACTCACGGTCACCCGGAGTAGACCGACGGGCTTCAATGAGTTGTAAGGAACCAGAAGAAACCCAGTGCTTAAAAGCGGGACGTTTCGCAAACCCACAACTGACTGTTCCCGCCATTTTCATGGCGTCATGCAATTGCAACCAATGCTCATCTATACTTTTCGGTGGAGTGGTAGCTAGCCTAGAGGCTAGCTCGGTTCGATACTTACTTGCAACAGAAGTTGCAACCAGCTTGCTAACATCAATCCGTTGATGGCGTTCACTTCGTTGTCCACTGAAAAGTAAGGCAAGATTGGCGCAGACCAAGGCATGGTCAGAGTCCAGATAGGTACTCCAAAAGGAGCGGCAGTCTTGTACACAACCACGCCAGCGGTAGCTGATCGCGATGTGATCAATCTGAGTCCAGGCTTGAGATGCAGAGGGAGGACGCCAGGTGGCACATCGGCGATGACTGTGCCGAAAGTTAGTGCTAGCCAGAAACAGGTTGTGGTCTGTGCAAAGTTGCAGTAGACGGTCCCCGTTATCTGACCTGCGACCAACGAGTCCCCATCGGCCACCTAAACGACTCTCTTCTGTGCCTAGACGCCCGACCTGAGCATTCAAATCTCCGGCTAGTACTACAATATCTGTCGAACGCACTTTCTGGAGAAGAACTGATAACTGGTGGTAAAACTCATCCTTGATTGCATCCGGGCTGCAATCTGTCGGGGCATAGGCGGAGATGACGAAAAGACATCGTTTCTCACACCGATTTCTTCTCACTTTGATGGAACTTTCTAATCTGACAGCACATAACCGACTGTTAATGGGGATCCAATCGACTAGTGCTGCCTCAGCTCTAGCGCTTAGTGCGACACCAACGCCAGCAAGACCAGACGAAGATGCCACAGGGTCCCCGGATAAGCGCACGTAAAACAAGCTTTTCGAAGCGACAGATGGAGATCGAATTTGTAGTACTTCGCCAGAGTCTTGAATACGGGTCTCGGATAGACAACACACGTCGATATTAAGACTTTCCAAAGACATAGCCAGCCCTATCTGTTGTCCGACCTGCATAAATGTGCGAACGTTGAAGGCAGCCAGTTTGAATGGTGCACGTGGTTTCAGAAAATCTGCTTCAGTCCTCGTATTCGGTGGTAACATACAATTTTCAACCGGACAGTGACTCGAGAACGTTTAGATACAGTCGGATTTCCACCAAAGACGAGCCGCTGTATAAGTATAAAAGAGGGTGAATAATGTGGAAAATAATAATAATAATGATAATAATAACAATAATGACAATAATAGTAGTAATAATAATATTAGTATTGTCATAAGACAACAAGTGTACCCACCATTGACAACTTTATTTAGTTATCTTTTCTAGGTTTCCTGTTATTGTCAGTGTTATGGATTGTGAGCTCATGGACGGATTTTTAGATTCTTAACATGAAAGGAAAGGATGCCGATCTATAGATGGTACGCAACGACACTATATAACCGAATGATGTCTGATCACAAGAACGAATTAAGGACTTAATAATGCTTATATAGAAAATACCAACATAAAATAAACATGATAATGTTATAGGCTTTTGGAGGAACCAAGTTTGTAGGTCACTCATTCTCCAATCATTTAAGACTTAATATCAGAATGGGGTTTTGTGAAGATTTTAGTAGTTCCAATTGTTGAGATCATGAGTCAATTGAAGCTAGACCACCATGGAAAACCTGGAAACACTGGACGGCTGTTTCGTCCTATTGTGGGACTCCTCAGCAGTGCAAATCTACGATCCCGCCTCGCGGGATTCAAACCCAGAACCTCCTGGTCTCGCACGCGAGCACCTAACCACTAGACCACTGAGCCAGCATCCAACGGTATTAATGTCTAACTTCAACTTATTTATTAAACATAAAACTGGACAATCTTTGTTAATATCAGTTTAATGTGATGGGATGTGAGGATTTATTTTATTAGAGGATGACTTTCAACATAAACTGATAATGGTGCTTGACTATATACTGAGATAGTTTTAACTTCATTTCCCTATAAACTGGACACAAAAACACCCTACTCCAAAGATTTGTTAGAGACCAAAGGAGACTGATTTACATAGGCAGCAACTGCGACTAAATGTGTCAACAAGACCTTTCAAATTGAAACAAAAAATGTCATAATAGAAGAGCAACGAACCAAAGGCAAAAAAGGGAAACATTCTTTGAAGGCTTCACTGTACGAAAATATTAATCCAAATGTATTAAAAGAAAGTAACAAATTGTTTTAAGGGTTCAACAATCCTCAGCAATTAGCGAATCACTCCAAAAAAGAATGGGCTAGTCCAATTTTATGTGAAAGCCATCTACATCGTCCTCCGGTTCGTACTAAACCATGATGTCGTCTTAGATAAATTCTCTTATATCGCTAATAATAGTTGTTTATTTGGTTTTACTTGCCTTAATCTGTAATTAACCTTGCCGTTTAACTGCTATACTAACTAGTTCTTATTTATTTTGTCTTTTATTTTCTAGCATCTTCGTCGGCTGCTGACGTGTTGGCAGATATTTTTGGAGGAATCAAAATGTCTGATCTTTCTGGTGATACTGGCTTCTTTGTGCCACCTGCAACTGTTTTACTGGAAGCTGCTCGTGGTAAAGGTCTCGAAATTCGTGGTACATTTTCTCGTAAGACAGCTACCGCACAAGTTTTTATGGAGCTGACATTGACTAATAATGCACTAACTCCCATGTCTGGATTCGCTATACAATTTAATAAAAATAGCTTTGGCTTAGTTCCAGCCCAAGCACTAAATGTCCCTACTCCTTTGATGCCTCATCAATCTGTTAATGTATCCCTTCCGTTAGCAACTACTGGTCCTGTAATGAAGATGGTTCCACTTATGAATCTACAGGTGGTTTTCCTCACATTTTTTAAGATGAATTTATTACAACGATCTCATTATTTTATAAGGTAGAAGTACTTGCAATCAAATAAATTAATAAGTCTTGTAGATCAATGGACGAACTACTTATTTTTATGATTGTATAACTAGGTGGATTTTTCCTTCGTTGTCTACAACTTCTGCTTATACGTCCACCTTTCAAGTAACAAAAACACAGACTCCTTTTTTTACAAAGTCCATCCTTTGTTGCGCCGTAAAATTGACGTGTTTATGACACTCATCTGGATCATTCTCTGGGCCTCAAAACAAACATGTATTCCCGTTGGTAAGATGGTTCTTACTTCTAACGTATTATCGTGCTTTAGTAACGGAAGGTTTATTTAACCGCGGAGTTGATTGTACTACTGACAAACCTGCTCAATGATTAACTCAACTGTATTATGTCTGAGAGCTTGTTTTCCTGTTCTTCATTCATAATTTCACTAAGTTTAACCCACTTTCGTTTTAATCTAGTGGGTAATTGTTTAACCACAAGCTCTAATATGAACATAAAATTTAATTCAGACTCGATATTCAACGATATTCGTGTATTCCTATATATAATTGGATTGCCTAGAAATATGGTAAAGTCTCTTGAATCATCTCTTACCTTTTGACCATCACCCTCCACAGTTTCAAACACTACGAGCCACCACTGATAGTCTTCCGAATCGTTTAAATATATGTCTAGCTTCTATGTGAACAGATGAGGTAGGCGAAAATTTTCAACACTAGATCTTGTAAATTGCCTCATTTGAAAAGTCAGTCTGTCCCGATACCATTTCTAATTCCTTCACAAAAGTGGAGCAATCTACTGGATCCCTATAAAACTATTCGGCACACACTCAAGGAGCTTGAAGTAGTTTTCTTAGTTTCTACTTCAGATTTATCAAACAACATCTCAAACAAACTATTAACATCACCATTACCTCGTCGAATCAGCAGACAGACAGGCATAGTCGAAGGTACGAGCTAATTTCCAAGTAGGAGTGGTTCAGAATTTCCCAGGTTAACCAAATCCAGAAATTCGACTAGGTTTAAACGAAATTTAGAAAGCAATCAATGGAACTTGGAGATCAATTATGACTGTCACAGTTGGTAGAGTATTTCTGAAATTGGAGAATCGCAGACTGTAACTAACTTCTATCGAGGAACAAAACCAGAACGAGTGAGTAATGAAACAGGACGTCTGTTTATTTGATAGAAACTAAAGTGTGCTAACGCCTTAAAGCTATCCTATGAGTGACTTTGAGCTTAATAATCAGGAGTTAGCCAGCCATTCATATAACAGCTATTCCTCAATAGTTCAAGGTTATTAAAAACTGTTACCATCCATGTCATCATTCAGATTAACTGAAATCTAGTTAGAAACATGATTTCCAGTGGCAGGTTGTCCGTAATTGCGTTTTAAAACCGCGCTTCAGTTCAACAATCTCCATTCTGACTAGTCATTTCTGCTTGTTTCAAAGCCGTCAGTATGGTTTAGTTCTATGGTGTTTTATATTTAATTATAATTAAACGGCTCCAAAGAAACTAGATAAATAGCTATTTCATAATAGGTTATGACCACGTTGTGATCAAAAAAAGAGTATAATACTGAGAATTATCTCTTTTTTGTGAGATGTAATTTTAACTAAAAATCAATCATTACTTGTTGTCTACAGTGATTATACAAATAACCAGTTACCGTTTCTTTTTTCTAACCTATGTTTGGTCAGAATTCATCAAAATCTGTATGCTAAGAGAGTGTATGTGTAACAGCATAGAGCTCATTTACGTGTATAGAAACATTTGTGAAAACTAAAACGTTGACAAGTATCATCTTAGGAATTTGGGTTTTGAAGTAGAAACTACACTAACATAAGTTAGAACAGAATATTTTTTGGTAACCAAAAAATGCTAAGTCTTATTTCTTGAGTTATTTAAAAGCTAGTAAAGTTTTCATGCCATGTGGTTTTTGTCTGGAATACAACAGAATAAGGTTCAGAATACTCTAAAACATTTAGTATGAAGATTACAATTGTTAGTATATATATAACCTTTTTCAATGCTGTAGCAACACGTAAACGCCACGATTTAGTTCAATTTTTTAAATACATCTCAAATATTTAATTTCGTGTTGTCATTAGTTTTGATTTCTTCAATTTTCCCCTCATTGTGTTGGTTCGATGCATACCTGTACCTTATCTTACTTTGTTTATGACTGGCTACATAATCTCCAATTACTATGTTACACTTTTCATGATATATTTTAGCGATCATTAGTAGTGTTTTTGTTTTGTTTAAACAAGTGTTAGCTAATTGCAAATTTCATGCTTGCTCGTGTTTACTACTCTTTATTTTCAATAGATTGCTGTCAAGAATAATATTGACGTATTTTACTTTGCTACGTTGGTACCAATGCATATTTTGTTTGTCGAAGATGGAGAAATGGATAAACGAGTTTTCCTAGCTACCTGGAAAGATATACCTAGTCAAAATGAACAACAGTTTACTTTGAGTCCAAAAAATCTCACTGCTGGTAAGTTAATTATTTCTACTAACTTGCTTTCATCATACGATTTACTATTATGTTTATTATTTTTGCCCATTTTACAAGAATTGCATTATGCAATGAATAAATATTTATCTAAAAGTGCTTTTTTTTATCCTAGTGTTAATTTTACTTTCTAGCATGTTGCTGGTAATTATTTGTATAACAAAATGCTTAACAAGTATATATCACTTTTGAAAGCTCGGTAGTAATTTATTGCTCTGAAAATGATTAAGCATTTAAACGGACATTTATGATGATATTAAATGTGTGTACAAAATCCATCCACATTCTGTCAAAAGAAAACTAAGAAACGTTTAAAATGATTCATTTAAACAGTTGAAGTCCATCTAAGCTGGAAGCACTGAACGGCCGTTTCATCTTAGTATGGGAATTCTCAACAGTGCGCATTCATGATACCTCACACGGGATCAAACTTGAAAAAAGTATATGTTAAACAACCCAAGGGAATTCATACTTTTTAACTATATTCTGCAAAATTCTATCAATAACCCTCATACAAACATTACACTCATAACTCAAGTGGTGTTAGAAGTATGGAGGTAGTTGTCATTCCCAGGATCTTCACACAGTGGAATGGTACTTCTTTTTGAAGAAGACGGACCTGAAAAGAAAACTGGTTAACCTTGATGACCCTAACGTGTGACCGAAGTGTCTATGGAACAACTGCCTGAGGCTGGTCACACACAGCTTTTTTGTGAACAATATTTGATGTTTTAGCTCTATACTTTAAAGCCTTACCACTAGTTGCGAAAATGCATAGTGTAAAATGAAGTGTAGTGTTTTCAGAGTAAACTTTTCCTAACCCCCTTCTGTTTTAGTAGGGCAGACCTCACAAACCTGTACGTGGTTACTGAGTTACATAAGCAATAAAGAGTTCAGAAATGACAAGTGTAACCATCCTATATAACAAATAGTAAATATTTTCATATAGGCAAGCGATTACAATTTTCTTGTAGTCTCCTTATCATGTGCAGTAAAGTCAATATTTTAAAAGTTAAATGGTGTTTTAATCCTTTCGAGTCCTTAAAATTGCGTTGTTTTCTGATATATCATCTGTATGTTACTTTTAATGCCTAATTGAAGCGTGAATTGTGTGGCGCATATATATTTGGTGTCCTCTTGTATCAATATTTTTGTGTTCAAATAAATAAATAATAAACTTAATGCCTAATAGAATAATTCATTTCATTTCATTACAAAAGATATAACTGTAAATACAAATAACACCACTCTCAATCAAGAACCAGTTTAAGTGTATACGATTAGATTTAACTCTAATAGACAAAGTATAAGATTTCTTATCTTGATGAATCTGTCATTTAATTAACATAAAATCCAAAATACTGGATTCATTATTTAAATTATTTCCAGTGTTATATTTTTTGGAAATCTACCATTAAATGAATACTTATTTATAAGTATGATTGTGTTAAACGGGACATTGTTCAAATTATCACTATTGATTCAATCCATATATGTTTTTCTTTCGATGATGCTGTCTGATTGTATTATGACATAAAAATTACCTACACATGCATTTAAACAAATAGTGTAAACAATTACGTAAAAGGTAATAACGTATACACCTGTTCTACCTACTGTTTTGTCATCGAAATAAATGATATCAAGATATGTCGAATGTTGGTGTTACGTTAGGCAATTAATTGGTCATTTGAAGTACTGTAAACTACTTACTGGATCTTTAATGGCTTTCAGATATAACTCCATACCGATAAGTCATGGTATATAGGGAAATTCTATGCTTGTTTATCTAGATCAATATGTTATGTGTTTTTTTTTCAAATATAACTCATTTACTAAATACGAAGTTTTATACTCGGTCTTAAGCCTCATATCATGTAAGGGCTAGTAACTATCCTGTTACATAAATCGGAATAATAAGATCAGAGTGGAATTCGAACAGTGTTATCTTACTGACCATGGATAATCTTGGTTGTTTAGCAGCAGTTTTGTTGTCTACCTACATCAGTTTGTTTAGGAGAAGGTTAGTGTTAATTCTTTGGTTTCTGTTAACCGATCTTCACTCTGCAACAAATTTATATGTGAATATTTTTAGATTAAAGAGATACTATTTAAATGTCTTTAAATGCTTTTTTATGTACATATAAATTTTGCATATCTATTCTAGATGCTTGTAGCAGTAAATTACGTCAAAACAATGTATTCACTATTGCTAAACGTAATTTGGATGGTCAAGATATGCTTTACCAATCTATGAAGCTTACAAACGGTATCTGGGTATTAGCCGAATTGAAAATTCAACCAGACAATCCGTCTTTTATTGTAAGATTGATTAAATAATTAATGTATGGTATTATTTATGTCTATCCGTTTTGTTAATATTTTAGTTAAATTTATTAATGAATAATGAATTAGTGATGAAAAAAGGAAGCATTAAGTATCCTTTAGCCATATTTGAATTGTGACTATCAGTGAAATATAGAATGCGCCATTTTGCAATGTACCTACATCCCTAGTGTTGTTTATTCATCAAGCTACTGAACCCATGTATCAACTAACAGGCATAAATACATTTGTAGTTTCCTATTGTGTTGGTATTCTGAAATCCAGTTGATCGGTCTACGGATTTTAATTAAAAAGAAATTATCAGTATCGGGTAGCGGAGATTATTATGTTTTTGATTGAGATAATGTGTCGATCAGCGTTAGACCACCGCTGAAAACCTGGAAGCACTGAACATCCGTTTCGTCCCGTTGTGGGGCTCCTCAGCAGTGCCCATCCACGGTCCCGCTCGTGGGGTTCGAATCCAGGGCATCTGGTTTTGCACGCGAACGCTCAACCTCTAGACCAGTGAGCCGGCATCCAACGGTGTTAATGTCTAACCTCAACAAATCCACGAAATCGCGCGACTCTCTTCCATTGTGTTGAGGTAGATACCTGTCTACCTGACAAGGGGTAGCTCCACTGGTGACGACTTCGAATCCTCCGAGCGGGATCGTGGATGTGCACTGCTGAGGAGTCCCAAGATAGGACGAAACAGCCGTTCAGTGCTTCCGGGTTTTCGATGGTGGTCAAAGATCGATCGGTTCATGATCTCAATAAAAAGAAATTTTTAGATGTATATACGGATTCGCTTTCAATTTCAGCCAGAGTGTGATCATTAGCGACAAACTCCAAAAGAGGAAAAATTACTCATAAGCAGGTTACAAATGATGTTTGTTTGCAAATCATTTCTTCGTAACGATCTTACTGAAAATTTATTTTAGACTAGATGTATTTTTACTACAACAGTATCCGTCAATTCATTGAAACATTCTGTTCTAACCCACTACACCAAAGGTATTTCACTACAGGTTCGCCTAATGTTACTATCACGATATAGATAGATCGATTGTGGGCAATATTCATGTTCCAAAAACAAAACACTTGCATACAGTTTTATTGAATCATTATTTCATTCCACCCTTCATTACGTAGCTGAAATTCTACTCCTGACTGTTGCTGCTACCTTGACGTGGTGGTCGGGCTTGTCTATCGTAATGAACCGATCGAGCTATACTGGCTGGAACAATCGTTCCTGAAGGTCATACCATGCCAGGCAGGTCGGTTGAAGAGCGGTAAAACTGGTAGGAGATCAATTGCCGAAAATTTACACGACGATAACGTTATTTCCATCGGTAGGTCTATGATGGAATTGAACAAAAATTAGATAGTGGGCAACCCTGTCGGCCACCACTTGAGGTTTCAAAATCAGATGATAGTCCTCCATAAGCTCCTACTCGACTGGTAGTGTTCGAGCAAAGAGTCTTGACAAAATTCATGTACTACTGGTGAAATTCTATTCTTTAAGCTTCCCTCTTGAAAAATTTCGCAGGATTACAATCCACTTCTTTGGAAACGAAACACTTACCTATCATTTTGACAAATTATAGTTGCTTTTCAAGTATTAATCTATCCAGTCAATTGTATCGTACAACTGACTGGTCACTACGATAATGACAGTGATATGGAGGATCCATCTAGGACAATTGGAAAACCCTGGTTCCTAACTAATGGTACACATGGGCTCCAGGATCCTGAGGGAACCTATTATCATTAATAACTGCTACTGGCCTCATTGTTATTATTTGTTGCCCCCTTGTATTAATGTTTGTGCGTTCAAATAATAGTAATATAGCAGTGATTTACTTAGTCTACAAAAGTGGTAAGCCTAAATCCATTGACAACGTTTCTAATATGTCATGGGACATCACATTCAATTATCTTTGATAATTGTAATTGAATTGTATATGAACACAGTGATTCTACAAAATACTCATTTTTTGTTTCAATTAATTATTCCCACTCATTCTTTTTTTCCCCGTTTATTCTTCCAGTTATCATTAAAATCACGTACAATGGATGTACATCCTTGTGTTCAATTGGCATTCGATGAAATTTTAAATCATTGATTATTATTTATTCTCTTATAATTATTTACTACAACTAATAATTAGCTTGATCATTTCTTTTCTCTACTGACAATAATAATACTACTACTAGGTACTACTAATTTCACTCGTTAACTGTGTTTTTTTTAATGTGGTGTACACACAAATTTAAGTTTATTTTGTTTTAGCATTCGGGATTTAAAAAGAAAGTACCTGTGGTTTTATTGTGTGTTGTTATTTCATTTTACCAATTGTTGTTGATTACTTTTATTGATTCATTTCATTCCATTTATCTTTTGCATAGTTATATCCATACTTACTATGTGATTCCAACTCAATTATCATATCACAATTGTTGTGTACTGTTTATCATTCACTGCTCATATTCAAATTGATTTAAATAAATATGTTTAAATTGTAATAATTGTTGTTATTCATGGACAGCACCACATCATTTTTTTATTATGCTATATTGGTGATACTCTGTTGATTTCGACCATCGGATTTTAGTCAGAGGGTCATAGGCTCTTCCATATCGCTCCATCTACTTGGAGTTTGTTATGACTACCACTATCTGCCAAGTATGAATTCTGCATATAGTTCTCAGTATAGAAGTTTGTAATTTGATTATCTCTTCACGCTACTGTTTTATGACTCAGAAAACTAGGTAACTTTTGAAGGTGTTTTGTTCTTTAACGTGGTTAGTTTAGTCATGAAGCTTTCATTATCTTGCTAAGAAATATCAGTAATCTCAAATTTATTTCACTGTATTATACTCTTTAAATAACATCTCCAAACACTAATCTTCCCGATTACTGCTTATACTCTTATTACCTCTACCACTACGGGATTTGAATCGACCACTGCATCTCTATGCTAATGTGGTGTGGCAACTCGAACTGATGTACGTACGTACGAAGTTCTACGTTGTTACTGACTGACTGATCAGTAATCACTGGGTGATATTTCGTAAATACTTTCATTAGGAATGTGTACTGTTGGATATCAGTGAAGATGTTCTTATTTAAGTGCTGTCATCATAATAAATAATTGTCTCGCGGCTTTCCTAGGACTGTTAAATGTAAACGGCTAAGTGTAATGAATTATTGTCACCTTTTTCATCCCATTTTGTTATTAAATTGAGACATGAAGTACTGACAAAGCTCCAATAAACGGTAATTTTACAAGTTGTATACTGTTTTTCTCGATATTTAACACAAAAAATGTCTCACTACCTCTGGAAAAGTTATCGTAGCTACTTAAGCTGTAATTGTATTTTATGCCACTGAACATTGTCGTCTCGTTAGCTCATTTGTACCGATGATGCTAAGCGCATTTATATGACATGGCAGCGTGTGATTGTTGTTAACAATAGGAAGTTGTCTGAAGTTTTTCTTGTGGCTAAGTGACTTGTGAATGCTCACTTCAACTACATGTATAAATATGCATATATATTGAAACAAATATATCTTCGTTTTAATTAACCTAGGAACTGTTAAACCGTGTGAATATGTTTGTTTCCCGACAAATTGTATATGCAAACTGAATAAGTTGGTTGTCATTATATGACTTATCTACTATTAAGCATAGTAAAGGAAAACTGGTACCATATCACTTAGAGTTGTGTTTACTTCAAAATTAGCATTGGACATTTAATCATGATCTACCTTCCAACTTACTAGTAAAGCTAGATTCTCGATACGAACTGGAAGAAAAGACTTGTTCTTATTGCTTTGTATGAGTCATAGCGTTAAGTAATCTATCTTCTTTTTGAAGGCTGTAGTGTTTATCGGCACTTTTTCTATCAACCGATTATGTGGTTAGGGCTTCCTGTAGTATAAATACAATATGCCGGGAGAAATTCCTTCTCTGTGTACAGTTAAATTTGACAACTTTCAGTCTCATTTTGTTAACTCGAGAGAAATAATCTCACCTGTTGTTCACTTTCTTCCTTAAACATGGTAAAATCATCCGCTTTGTGAAAAGTATATATTAACTGTTCACTACGTGAAACGTGCATCCAACATGTATATGAGCACAAAGTGTCTAATGATGTTTTATCAGCTCTTCTCAGTTCATCGAAATCATACTGCTTAACAATAATTTGAGTAAAAATACTGGTTACTCTGAAACTAGTGTTTCTGGGACTTGCAAAGTCACGAATCCTATCTGCCACTGGGCTCCTTGGATAAGTGTACAGGCAATCGATAACTCAAAGACGTATTGTGTAACTTCGTCGATATATCACTTGATGAATTATTGAGTATATAGTTTGGAAGGCCTCCATAAAATTGCTCAAATAGAAATTCGTGCTATGACTTGTCCAGCTTCAAAATGGATCTCCTGAAGTTAAAGTAAAAAAACAAGCTGTAGTGCCAGACGAATAAAATGCCAATCAAATAACTAACTAGTGACATTGAGGTAGAATCGTAAATTGACTGAAGTTCAGAATGTGGATTATTGAATTCTGACTTCACTACACGTGTATAGCGCTCCTCAGAAAACCTGATTCTATCAGATTGATATATATTGCTGTGTAGTGGTTCCAAAACCAGAACTAAAAGAGTCATTAAATACTTCCTGGTTCTCGATGGTTCTGCTAATGTTAACTGACAATTAAGATCACCCTCCATAAATCATTGCAGTTTCCAAATATTTACTCCTATAAAGAGTTCATTATTTAACTTATGATCCAATCCCTGTATATTTCTATCCAAATAAATAAATTAACACAATATAAAACGATAATCGAAATATTTATTTTTGTTTCAATAAAATTCCCTGATAAAGATTACTTGATTAAAGTAGCAGATTATGAGTTAATTTTAAACAACAGGATGGAAGAGAAAATTGGCTAAACCAAACAAAAGAAAGTTCAATATGTATATATTAAATAATGATAATAATAGTAGTATAAACCCAGTAGGTATAGATTAAATGATGCACATGAAGTGATAACAGGATATACTTCAAATAACATACATCTGTATGGTAATATAATTGACTATATCCATTTGTATGTGGATCCTCATGAAATATACTTACATGACTCACCATAGAAAAAGAAAAGTAATGGGAAAATGAAGTTGAAACACTATTTTACTTCATCAAAATAAAATATTCACTTGACTGTTTATTGAATAAGTATAAAAGCTGCCATTTTTCTTACATCTAAATTATATACCACACCGGGTTTTCACATTTTTGTTCTCTTGTAGCACAGAAAAAAGAAACAATAATAAATATATATTTGTAAAGTATATATTACTTATTTCATAAACCTGAGATTTTAATTGCACACAATAATATTGATTATTCAATGTTTTATCATGGATTTATATTCAATGTTAAATTCCTTTTTGTTTTAATATTATGATGTAACTATTGGAAATGATCTCCGATTCAAATGTTGTAATTCATTTAATTGAAATAATTGAATATATAAATCAGAAAATGGTAAATAATTGTTTTTATATTTAAGTATTTTTAATATTTCTTGATGTTCTTTATTCATTCTATCTAAATTATGTTTAATAGACATTATTTTATAAAAACGTTTCTCTGAATTGAACTGATCTAAAACAGAGATGAAAAACAAAACAAATGAAAATTCTTTTATGAAGAATAATATCTATGTAATGAGAAACAATCAAAATTAATTCATACTCATTCCCACTCCCGGGGGAAGTCCTACTCACTATCTTCTCTTGACTGGATGTTGTTCACGAAATTGAGAAGACGAAAAGCTAATGTTCGGCGCTTTAACCGGGTTGGTGGATATAGAGGGTCCACCTAGGTGAGTTGAGAAACCCTGATTCCAAACCAATGGTGCACATGAGCTCCAGTATCCTGAGGGAACAAATGGCGTATGAACCAATTATTGATCACCGGCTACCATCGGACTGCATTTCCTGACATTGCTCCACTGCCTTGTGGATCAGACATTTAGGTCGAAGGCTCCGGGTGTAGCCCTTTAAGAAAACCATATGCTTCGGTCTGGACACCCGGGCATTATCATGGCCCACATACAAATCAAGTGACTTGTATGGCGCATATGTATTCGGTGCCCCTTTGTACCAATATTTATGTGTTTAAATAAATGATAATCCTACTATATTAGATCATAGTTATGTCCATAACTAACCAATCAAATCGCTTCTTGGACGCCGATTACGTCAATCTGGCCTGATGTCTCTGTAGTCTATCTCTGCTGCATGTAACCTGCCAATTGGAGGACATTATTATTTTATCATATTAGTGTGACTGCATCTCATACTTTTTTTCTTTATTCATTTCCATAACACACGCAATACTGGTCGAATCACATAAAGTTTAAAGCCAATTTGCCCTTGTTCTGACTATAGCTTTCACATAGACTCTGAGTCGTCAGTATCGCGTTTACAGTTGCGATAGAATATTTGTAGGACAAATCAAATCCTATACGAGATATGTCGATTACATAGCAGTAAGATTATAAGCAATAAAATTGAAGTCCAAATGTGAAATTGTACTGACGACCACTTAGGGATATGACTACAGTAACGTCTATCACTCAGGAAACCAGTATCTGAAGTTATGCTGACTTCTTACAATGGACGAGAGGGCTGAGAATACTCTTTCCTAAAACTTGTACACCTCAACTTGCCCCACAAATTTTCACCCCGGTGGTAATGTCTGAAAAACTCAAAAAACACATGTATGATCAGCCTGTCCCTGAGCTCTGTGGTCACTCTCTCAGGTAGTTAGGATCATTCTTAATCCAGTTTTCTTTTCACTTCTTTCAAGGAGTACCATTCCATAGTGTAGGGAATGGGGGAAGTTATAACTACCTACATACCTCTGAGAATCCTCAAGACCACCTGAACATTCGTGTGACTGAAATAGATAGTGTGATTTCGTTAGTAATTTACTTTGTCCATTCATCCTAGTTAAACATCTATCCACGAGTTACGATTGTTGTTATGATTGATTTTCATTGAGATTTCTAGGTTAACATTGAGATGACCAAATCAACAATTCACTCATGTAGCTGACTTCCATACACCAAATAAATAGATTTTAGAAGATACAACTTATATTCAACTAGAGAAGTAAAACTGTTCGTTATATAAAAAATATTTAACCAAGATAATGTGACAATTAGTTACTTCTCATATAACAAGCAACTGATCTGTGGTGAAAATACAAATTTATAAACGACCATAACAAAGTATAAATTTATTTCATATATGTTAAGTTTAATTGATTTTCTATAATTCAAAGGTACACAGCTAATTCATTATTTTTGTCAAGATTACAGTATAATAAGAACGAAATGGTAGGCATTAATTTGTTAAAAACAAAAGAAAACGTCACATTCATGTCATACTTGTCTAAATGAGTAAACACTTGTTAAATGTTACTACTGGATAAACCCAATTAATATTGAAATAAATCATTTCCCATTGTTAGAAATAAATCAATATATTTGTAATATCCCAATCAGTAGAAAAATTAAATTTTCCGACGTTAGGTCCTGGGTTCGAATCTCGTGAGGTGGGTCTGTGGATGCGCACTGCTAAGGAGTCCCATACTATTTTCTGAAAAAGTGACTTATACTGAGTCACGAAGCGTCAGAAAATTTAATTTTGCTACTCACTGGGTTATTACAAATATATTAATTTATTTATTTATAACAATCTACCAAATGATCAATTCATTCGAAATTATCAAGTCAAACCTTGATAATAATATCTTCAAACTCATTTTCCATCGTGTTTTCTAATTCTATACAAACAAACATTAAAAATAGAGGTCCAAGCTTGAACCAGATTGCTAGATGAAACGTTGGATTTACTTCAAATTCTTTCGCTGATATTTTACAAATACATTCTTCCTCTTTAATGTCTCACATCAATTCGGCGCCCAAATACTCTGAAACTATTCGATCAAACATTAACAGTGTTCAATTTCCATAGCTATTTTAATAGCTTATTCATTGATCTCTTCCTTTACTCACAGTTTAATTGCAATCACTTCCCATTGTTATTTCTTTATTATCCTTATCTCCTCTTATCCTCCATTTCTAGTCTAGTTGATCTTTTATTTTTATATATAAATGTTCTTAAGAAGTGTAGGATGTGTGACTAGATTGTTCGAAATGTATTGCGCTAATACAACATCATCATATAGTTCTGAGAATTTTCACTTTATTATACTATCGAAATTTATCAAAGAGACTAAATGCTTTTAACGTGTTATTGAAGTTTAACTTCAGAGATGCTAATTTTATGAAAAGTTTGTGTTATGTTCCGATAAGCATAATGAATGGTAACTTTTGGGATCCATTTATGGACAAATACTATACGTAATATATTTTATCGTACCATTGTTAAATAACTAAACTATATATATTCATATCCCTCTTATTATGAACTTTATTTTGACCTATGAACTATTATTATACCATTTGCCATTCTTAAATTATGCCCTGTCTATTAATTACTATCTCCGACACTCACAGCCACTTTTGGCTAAATCTTGTACAAATGTTGTTTCCTATTTTATGGTACGATGTGGTTTGTCTGGTTGGTATATAAACCCAGTATGTTTGAAATGAATAATTCATATTTCAGAGGCTGGGATTGGTGTTCCGGACTTAACTGACTGGGCTAGGCAGGAAGCAGGACCGATAAGTACTCTAGATTGCTCGTACGGGTTTTATGCATCATTGGTCCGATCGGTAATTCACTGCTCTCTAGTTGGCGGTATCATTACGTGATACATTAGCAGGGCACTCGGGCCACAAGTTATAACAGTTTGAGATTCTAAATTTTTATGAATAAATAATACTGTATTTTTATTACTACAGAAGAAACAAACAAAATACTCAAATATTCTTACTTGTTTCATATTCTTTTAATAATTGAAGAATTGTTTGATAAGTTTCATATACTTTTATTGGTTCATTCAAACATTTTCCATCTGTAAAATTAAAGTAGTGTAGATGAAATACCAAAAAGTATATATTACAAACCAAAACCAGTGAAAATATTTCTTATTACGAAATGGCAAGACTATAATTTATGGACAAACCAATCACGTATAAGATAGCAGGTTTCGGGTTTTTGGCGCGAAATGCATTCATTCGAATAAATAGAGTTTTGGCATTATAGCTGATGTCAGTTCGTGATGAAGACCCTAAATCTAATTTCTAACCTTAATCATCAACCGTAAATCGTAATTCTAATTCCTCACACAGGTTTATAACTCTCATTTAGTCCTGGTTATTAAGTGAACACTCTCAAGGTCAGTCTGGCATCTCTCAAAGGTCGTCTATAAATTAGTCTCACCTACGAAATTTATGAATTGTTGAATGTATATTTCGTTCTATTCTACGAAATACTTAAACAATTCCTACATTTTTGGAGCAACGTCTTAGTGATTGATGTATTTAATGTGTTTGGTCAAGCCCTAAACCTTCCCTGCTTATTTCAGTTTGACCAATCGGGAAGTAAAATTATCCCTTACATAAAATTTGGGAGAATGTTTCATGTAGGTTAGATAACTGCACTTGGACGTTTGACGATTACTATCAAGTGATCAATCTGTTCAAACATTATAGTCCTATAATATAAGGTTAGTTGCTGTCTGAATACCTCAGTGATAATATCTCTGATTGTGACCCGTGTTTGAATAATGTGGGGTGCACCAATTTGCCTAAGATTACAGATAATCCAAGGTGAAGAGTATTAGCTCATAAAAGGGAAAGCCCAAACCCAAAACCTCATATTGATTGACCATTCAACGTCATTAAAGTACACCTCAGTCTCAAATCACTTAGCCTAACACCCTGATATTTCGATTTGATCGATAGAATTTGACCATTACTCAGGACCATAATAAACATGTTAGTAATTATTACTAAATAATCAATTAACGCAAATATTTAATAATCACTAGATTAAGGTGAAGAGGTTTTGTGAGGATTATTTTAATTTTTAGGTTGTACTCCTTGAATACTTACCTCAACTAGGGTACCATTAAGATCACGGAGTACTGAATAACCGTTTTGTTCAAATTTTGTACTATTCAGTGACCTACGTTAAAATATTCCTGAAGCTTTAGTGACAAGTTGTGACCAGTAGAGTAAAAACGTATTGAGAATGAAATAGTCATCACAAATGGATTATTATCTAACTTGTATCGCAGACTGATTATAGTTAGGATTGTATAATTGGACATTGATAGAGTAGTCCTAAATGTTAAATGCTTTCAATGAGACCTAAAAATTTTGGGTTACATTCCTAGTGGAAACGTGGGTAGGTACTGTTGAAAGGTCTCATACTAGAACCACACAGTCGTCCAGTATACCATAATTTTCATTGGTACACCAAATAAGATAAATTCATGATGAACACAACTTGTGAAATCACTAGATTTGGTTAATCTTAATGTAATAATTTCAGAAACAATAATAACTAATCAACAGTCTTATCATCAACTAACCTCCGTGAAATAATTCAACGCAGCATAATAAACCAATTTCTGTTTCATTTAAATTTAATGATTTCAATAATTTGTTTGTTAAATTAATTTGTTCAAATAATATTTTACACACTGAGAATTGATTTATCAAGCTTGTTTGACTTTGAATATTCAAATAAAAATATTCCTTTGTTTTATTATTACTGAAATCTTGAGATAATTGAATTAAAATAATTGGATAGATACTTTGTTGAATTAAAATTTTCATATCATACTCTGAAAGTTCTTGGAAACTAGGGATAGATTGGGCAAATTGAATAATTTCATAAATATGACTTTCAAAATATTTCATTAAACTGTGCCATAGAATTTCTGGATTCTGTTTAGTTTCATCTAAGAAGTGTAGATTTTCAGGTAACTTGAATAAAAGAAGATATACATGTTATTTTTTACGGTATTATGGTTTAAAAATTGAACTGACCAATCCAGAAAACCAATGGAAAAAAAAAGTTATTGAATATATGATTTCAGTGCTTCTCTCTCAACTCGATATTAGTTCATGACAAGAATTTACATCCTAGTTAAACTGTCTCGGTAAACAATAATTACCTGTCCGTCGTCAGTAGATTTCCCAAATTTGTAATGTGATTTTAAGTATTTATCACTCCTAGTATATGACAGAAAAGTTGACTCATTATATTCAGTGGTTATTAACGGGAATAAATAACTTGAATAAACAATTACTTGTTATGACCTTTTATTGTTTGATTTTTTCTTCGAAATGTTTGGATTCATCGATTAAAATGTATTTTGTCGGAAGACTACAAATCTGCTTCAATTTCGGCATATTTTATCATTTGTAACTAACCGATTCACTTTTTGGAATTACTGGTGTTTTTTCACATTAATGTCTGTTTACATCTGTTCATGTACTAACTACTATCTTTCACACTTTTATGTTGTGCATTTAATTTACACAATATTTTGTTGATAAACGCATATTTAAACTTCCTAATAACTCGTGAAGTTTATACTACTTACTTTATATTAAGTAGTATATTTTTATTAGACAAAATATTCTGGAGTAAGATTTAAAAATATTCCAGCAAAAGGATAAAAATAATTATCCCTTCGCTGGAATACCTTTAAGTCTTCAATGACACAAGAACTTTCTTTCGATATTTTCAATCACTTTAAAATTATATTATTTTACATTTTGAACTTACTTTACACTGACAATGAAGTAACTGAAATGCAGCATTTCTAATATTCCGAAGAAGCTCATCGTTTCGAGTAGACTGATTATTTAACCTTAATAGGTGTATTGTTTCATTGCATTCATTTGTAATGTTAGAAGATTGCAAATGCACGGATGAATTATGAAAATCAGATATGCTTCGATTTGACTGTAAATTTGATTCATTGTATTCATCTGAATTATCATCAGTATATTTGTTGGTCATATAAAAATCCAGGTAATTTGATGTGTTCAATATATCATTTGCTATTGGAATTAACTGTGATGATGACATTCTTGAAAATGTTAGATTATTATTTACAGATGTATTAGTTATTGTATCATTATTGATATTATTATTATTACTATAAGTTGATTCATATTCATTATTACAAACCATTCCGTACATATTATTTGAAGTATTATAAGAATAATGAGCTTTGATCGAATCAATGCTAGGAATTTCTTCTATACATTTATTTAAACTTGAATAAGTAGTAGTATTAGTTGATTTTAACTGTTCCATCATGAATTCTTTATCTACATCAATTTTCTCTAATAAATTTAATAATCGAGGTTGCTGTTGTTGATCATATTGCTTTTGATTAGGACCAATTGATCTATTATTAATTTGATCATCTTCATAAGTAGACAATTGATTATCAATAATTATAATTGGTGATTCTAATAAACTACTACTACTACCACTAGTTTGTCTATATTTCATTCGATTTCTTTCATCATTATCACCTAATTCATATGTGTATTCATAATCTTTTTTGTTTGAATATATTGGGAAATCAGTTTTATCTTGTGATATATTTAATTGATACGTTGATGGTGTTATTAATGATTCTGTTGAATCATTAAATATTGGTTTATTATAAGTTGTATATAGTTTTGAATTTTTAGGCATATGGATCCACTGAAAAGCAGAAAAAAGATATGCAGTACGAGATTATAAGTAAAATTAGGTGGTATTACCTATTTTTCATATGATCTTAGAAGAAGTGTAATCAGTAGCATCACTTAAACGTTGGATGAATTTTAATAGATAAATGATTGTAGGTAGTTGACAGAAAAACTTTGACTTACTAATATTTATATTAGTATAAAAGTATCCCAACATAAGTGCTAAGATATTTCATATATATACTGTAAAACTGACCTGTTGAACGCTAATGAAATCTAGTCTATCGATATAGAAACTTTATTACCGACAAACCTATTAGAATGTTACACCCCCCATTTTAACTTATACAGATAAACCTGGAATATCAGAGGACTAAGTGAACTAGTCAAACAAAATCCTTAAAAATCATCTATGAGCAGAATGGGTTTTGTGGAGATTTTAGAAATTTCACAGATTGAAATCATGAATCAGTTGAAACTAGACCACCATTGAAAACCTGGAAGCACTGGACGGCCGTTTCGTCCTAGTATGGGACTCCTCAGCAGTGCCTCAGAGTCCCATACTAGGACGAAACGGCCGTCCAGTGCTTCCAGGTTTTCAATGGTGGTCTAGCTTCAACTGACTCATGATTTCAATCATCTATGAGCATTATTCAGATATGAAAACAATGAAAATTAATGTTAAAACTGTTCACAACACTGAGCTTTGAAATTATTATCACCCAAAAAACTTTAATGTCTATCAAAGGATCTTGTGACTGAAGTTTGTTTTTCGAACAGAGTAATATTTTAAGGATTTCCTTAGTCAAAGTTCATTACTGTCTTTAGGCTAAATGACATGGCTGATAAGTTGAATGTATTCAAATAGTAGTCGAAACATCGTTCCACTAGTTCAGCATCATAAGTGAGTTAAGTAAAATTGTTTGTTCTGACTTCGGAACAGGAAAACTAAGCGGCAAATAACGAATCATAATAAACAAGGAATAAGCACGAATCACGAGATAACAGTAATTAATGTTTAGTGATAACATGTAAGTTATTAAAAGTGAACGGGTGATTGGTAAAATACCCAGAAGAAATACTTGATTATTATTTTTTGGTCTATCCCACCTGAACACGCTATCCCATAGACTAAGGTGGTTATATGTAATCAGATGGAAATATTCTGATGGTATTCGTCTACGAAAAACAACTTACTACTACAAGAACATAAATCCGCTGTATTATTGAGATTATTGTTAGTACCCTAATAGGTAATAATATCAGTCGACATTTAATCACTTCATTATAATAAGTTATTGAATCACAAGCATCCTAGGTCAAGTAACCTTGATTAACTTAGCGCAACACAGTAAACCCAACCACAAAATACCAAGTGAGGAATCACGATCAAGACAGATGGGAATGACTAGAATGTCATTGATAATTTTGTCCTCAATTAAGCTTACTTCAAAGGTTACCCTCTTTAAGATCACCCACATCACATTGACCACTAAAGGACCTGACCATCCTGATGGGGGACCTAAAAGGTATCAAAGAACCACTAACTTCGACGTGTCAGAAGGTTCTGAGTCGCAACAAGCATAATCATAAGGAATGGATACCTATCGATACTCTGGACAATGTCAAGAAAGGAAGAACAGGAAGACAGCAATTAACAACAACCGAACAAGAACAGAGAAACTCAAGGCGCAAAGTGAATACATTGAAGAAAACAAACAAGTGAAGAGGAGCATTAAATTTGACAAGCAGAAATACGTAGAAGCTCTAGCAACGACAACAAAAAATCTGCAAGACAAAGAAATATAAAACAACTACGTGACACAACGAAGAAACTGGCAGGAATATATCGTAAACCAGAGAGACCAGTCAAGGGAAAAGAAGGCAAGCCAATCACCGAAACTCAAGAACAGAGGAACAGATGGATGGAATACTTCGAATAACTCTTGAATTGACCAGCTCCATTGAATGCATGGGAGTGAGAAAGCAGCAGGACCTGAAAATATACCAGCTGAAGCACTGAAGTCAGGAATGAAAGTAACTGCAAACATGCTCGACGTTCTATTCAGGAAGACTTGGGAGGGAGAACAAGTGCCGACGTACTGGAAAGAAGGATAACTCATCAAGATACCAAAGAAAGGAGGTCTGAGCAAATATGAGAACTACAGAGGCATCACACTACTATCAGTAACGGGAAACGTTTTTATTGGAGCGTTGGTGAATTGGATGAAAGATTCGGTAGACTCACAGCTTCGAGATCAACAGGCTGAATTCCGTAAGGGTCGGTTATGGAAAGATCAAATCCCGACATTACGGACCATCGTTGAACAATCAATTAAATGGAACTCGTCATTACACATCAAATTCCTTGATTATGAGAGAGCATTTGAAAGTGTTTATAGGAGAGTCTCATAAAACCCTCTTCAACACTATGGCGTACCTCAGAATACCATCAATATTATCCGGAATTCATACGACGGACTACATTACAAAGTCGTACATGAAGGCCAGCTGACAGACTCATTCAAAGTCAAGACTGGAGTCAAACAAGACTGCTTACTCCCGCCCTTCCTCTTTCTTTTGGTGGTTGACTAGATTATGAAGACCTCGACATCTGACGAGAAGCACGAAATACAATGGTTAGCGTGGATGCAACTGGATGGTTTTTACATTGCAAACCACCCAGCTCTTCTATCCCATATTCATCAACAAATGCAAGTCAAGACAAACAGTGTAGCAGCAACTCCTGCATCCGCAGGCCCCAGCATACAGAAGAGAGAAAACGCGATCGTCAAATACAACACGGAGAACACCAGCACAATCACACTTCATGAAGAAACCCTGGAACATATGGGAACATTCACGTATCTGGACAGCATCATCGATGAACGTGGAGGATCTGATGCAGAAGTAAAGGTAAGGATTGGTAAAGCAAAGACAGAATTCCTAAAGTTGAAGAACATATGGAACTCAAAACAACTGTCAACCAATATCCAAGTCAGAATCTTCATTACGAACGTTAAGACAGTTAGTTCCATTGTACGGAGCCGAAATTCGGAAAGCTATCACAACCATCATCAAATAAGTACAAATATTTATAAACAGTTGTCTACGCAAGATACTCGATGTCCGTTGACCGGATACTATCAGCAACAGCCTACTATGGGAGTGAACAAACCAGCTACCAGCTCAAGAGGAAATTAAGAAACGATACTGTAAGTTAATAAAACATACATTACGAAAATCACCAAATTGCATCACGAAGCAAGCACTAACTTGGAATCCTGAAGGGAAATGGAAAAGAAGAAGATCAACGGATGAATAGCAATTAGAAACAACTGGAAAGGATTGTCCAGGACAGAGTTTGGTGTAGAATGTTAGTGGATGGCTTATAGCTCCTCCACGATGAGTAAGAGGCGTAAGTAAGTAAGTAAGTAAGTAATACCATATTGCTAGCCATAAAAAAAGAACAGCAAATGTAACTTTTAATTATTGTCTAATATTTAGTTAAATCACTCGAAAAAAATTACCTTCCTTCGTAGATTTATATTATCTGTCCATTCAGATGACATATTAGACGTCATAGTTTGGTTTTCATTCCCTATAACATCCTCTTGTTTAACTGAATTATTATTACAGGAATAATTGTTTATTGAATCATCTTTGATGACTTTATGTAGTCTAGATGTAGTGAAATTTTCTAAAATACTATCAGTATTATTCATCTGTTGATATTTATCTACATTAAATTGAAATAATAACTTTGAATTTTGACAATTATCTTCTTGATAACTTGTTTGATTACATAATTTCGGTTTAACTGAAACCGATGTATGATATCGATTTAAAAAAGATTTTGACGGTGAATAATAATATTGACTACTACCTGAGGAAGTGAATGATGAATGTAGATTTTTAAATAAACATCGTTTATTTTGAACTACTGTATTATCATTATTGTAAATATTATTACTGTCAGTATTATTATTCATAACAACAATAGGAGAAGTATTCAATTGTTTAATAGTAGGCAATGAACATAGATCTTGGCATTCTTCTTCATAAATATTAGTTAAATAATTTTCATTCTGTACATCATTATATTCAGTTATGATTGTTGAATTAGAAAATTTATTACAATCATTATGATTTAAATGATGAAATATTGGTTTATTATGATCTTGTTCAGTTAATTCATATGAATCATTCGATTGTTGTTTATCAATATTGATTGAATGATGTATTGGAAAATCTTTTTCATGTTGACTATAGAATTGTGCTGCTCTAGACAAATTTATTAAACCAATTGACGAATAATTATTATTTATTAATTCATTAAATTCTTTTTGTTTATTTAAACAATCTACACTTTCTGGCATTGATTTTGTTACCATGATAGTAGTATTCATTGCCGGTGGTGGTTGTGGTGGTGGAAGATGAGGTGATGTTCCTGTTGTAACTAAAATCATTGCTTCAGAATTAGTCAAAGTTGAGGATAGTTGTGATGTGGGATTAACGATGAATTCATCATCCTGACTAGATAAACAATTATTTTCACAGAATTGTATTTCATTTGAATCTTGATGACAAATTGTTTGGATATGTACTGAAGGTGTACAATGTTGGTATAATGATGTAAAATCTACTTTTGACGGTATTCGTAGATTATTATCATTATCACTTAATTGATGTAATTCATTATCTTGTTCTGTAAGTTTTACATTGATATTTGATTCTATAGTTGAAGACTGTTGATAAGGTGTTGTAATTAAATGTGTCAAATCTGTAGTTTTTATGGTGGATTGATTTAAGCAGTTCTGGTTTGAAATCATACTCTCTTTACTATTATTATTATTATTATTATTATTATTATTATTATTATTATTATTATTATTATTATTATTATTATTATTATTATTAATTTTATATTCATAATGGTCTTGATTTAATGTATCATTCAGTTTATGTAATGGATTATTTATTGGGGATAATAAATTATATGATGAATGGTAATTTGAAATTACTGGACAATTGGATTTCGAATATTGTTTAGAATATACAGTTGAATTGGATACTGCTGATCGAATTTGTTCAATTTCAACGGCACAACGATGTTTAATGGCATTAGGTTGACGACCGATACGACTGCCTGGAAAAAGTTTATATGAGAATTAAAAAATAAATAATTATATCAAAATTAACTAAATGAATGTTAAGTGTTTATGGAGGATTGTTTAATTTAGGTCTATTTTCATGATAGGCTAACAATGGCTGGTTGAGTCACATCATTAAGATTCTTTTAAGTTATAAGTGTAAGCCATTGAATTTCGAATCAATAGTCTACGAGAACTACACTTTTCTAAAGATTTGAAGGTTTTGAATATAATCATGTGTGGTCATGGGTCCTTCCAGTTGACGAGTCTAACTAGAAAGATACGATAGTTCCTTTATCGTTAATCTCTATGTTAGATGCCGGACAAGAATCTTTCTGTGAAGTCACTTCTGTAATGAACAGAAGTTATAATGCGATTCCTCTTCACAAGAACTGAGTACATGCTTCTTAGACCCAGTCTTCCACTCCTGATAAGTCGGTAGTGATACTGACAGCTCTATATCCCAACTACTTCAATATAGTTCAACAGCAAATGTGGTGGTCGATTATAGGCTAAAATACTACAATGAACAGGGAATTATACGAGGAAATTTCACGAGGATTTCTAGTTCAATCCATTAATAACTAGATCATCACGATGACTCTCTCACTGTATCAATGGTTCCCAGTCAATTTACACTATTTCTAGAGAAACGCGTGTAAAAATATACATACAATGTTTTCCACCTAATATAAATCCATAGTGAAGATTGAATACCAACCAAAATAAGTAACCATATACCGAGATTAAACAAACTCAGACATTACAATAATCTAAATAATGGAAATTATTACATAAATCGCGTTAATCACCGCATAAACGGAATGATCCATTTAATACACTCATTGAAGACAAAACTATTTTCGGTTCAAAACGATTTCCCATAACTTATCTCTATTATGTGCAATCAAATTACTTGTCATTTATGAGCTTATTAAATTATAAATACTGCTGAATTTTCTTTAAAATCATACTACTTTATGAATAGCATAAACATGTATATTTGATAGTTAATATCGTTTTGAATTTTCTTTTACATTTGAAGTCAATTTAATGAGAATAAAAATATCATCTATGTGAACATTGTTGTATCAACTGACATATCTCATTTTACTTTCGTATAAAGAGGACAGCCAAATGTATTTGAATACAAAATTACAGAATCTCTTAGTAAAATTTAAGAACCATCAAGTAAATACTTCATATGCAAAATATCCATCAATTGTTTTAGATGTTGTTGTTCCATAGTTTCAATACCAATTACCCTCTGTTATAATTCTCTTCTCTTCGATTTCCTCTAACTTCTGCCGCCGGGCATTCTAATTTTGATTGGTGATACATACGACCTATATCTGTCGATATCAGTAGCATACACCACAATACTACTACTCTATCATTGACATCTAAATATAACTGTATTACTGTGGATAATCAGAATAGTGTGTATGTACTCACCATGTTTTGACATACCAACAGCTAAACATCTACGGTATCGACAACTTTTACAATTATTTCTTGTAGCACCGGTAACAGCACAATTACCTCCATTTCTGCAAGTGTAGCGTTGACTTTCTCGTTCATTAATTGTTCGTCGAAAGAAACCCTTAAAGTAAGTTTGTTTTAAAAGACAAATAAAAATTAATTAATTTGGAATAGTCTGTAAATGGTTTTAAAGCTGCAGATTAATGAATTTGATAGTGAAGTAGTACATATTAAACAGTTACCAAAGCTTTATTCCACCATTGTGATTATGGTCTTGGCGTCAAAGGTAGAAGTTGACTCTTTTTCTGACCTACAAACGATTCTCTAAGAGCATCAAGGTGAATATTTTTACTCTCAAAATGTTGTCTGCGAATTCTAGATTCTCCAATCTCGGAATCAGCACGTATCTCATTCTTTTTTCATAACAGTTTTCCTAATCAGTAAACATTTTAAGCGTATTTGCTTCAGAATTTCTAATTGACCGATACCCTCTTTTTCTAGATTAACCTGTTACCAGTCACTTTATAGACAATTGGTAAAATAAGCTTACTCATCATCGCAATGAGTCATGTAGAATGTTTTCCTAATTTAAACAGAAACTTAAGATCACCTAGTGGAATGATTTAGCGATATATTGATCAACATATTTATATGATACATTCAAGAGATCATTCAAAAACCAGAAGATAAAGAACTGCTTGGAAAAATTGTGAATAATTCCTGATACTTTGACTAGTAATACCAAACCTGATATAAGTCGGGTAAAGATCGTTAAATCCAATCGCTGGATATAGGTTTCCGTGTAGACACAACAGTTACCAGTCTAAATTCTTCAGTAGATTATCGTTAATTGTATATTCTCTATGATCCTTGAAACTTTGCTTATAAAATCAGATAATATCCAATCTCCCTCCCGCCACTTCCAATATTTCTTATTCTTATATTTTCATTTCCCTAAAAACTCTTTTCTACAGATGTTCTTCATCAGATTTGTAAAGGACTTTCTAATAAAAGCTTAATGCTTCGTTAAAAAAAACATTTTACAGCAGACATTCAGTATCATGAAATCAATAAAATGGAATAATTAAACAAACTAATTGTTTATTAATTAAATTTTGATTGTCCTTCCATGCTTTTGTTTATCTGTAAATTTATGTAAAATAATTTATTGGATTCTGTTGATGATGTATGTTTGGCTTTTCTTAAGAATCAAATCTTGTGGAATCAAATTACTGTCACCTATCGGGCTGATTTGAAACATATGCATTTAGTAAAATAATAATAACAATAATAATGTTATGAAATCACTATTTAATGTTGAGCTTTAAATAAATGTAAGTATTCTCTTAGTAGATAATTATTTCTGCTTTAAATGCATCAGATTGTTTTTCAAATAGTTGAGATCATTAGTCAATTGAAACTAGACCACCATGGAAAACCTGGAAGCATTAGACGGCCGTTCCGTCCTATTGTGGGACTCTTCAGCAGTGCACATCCACGGTCCCGCCTCGCGAGGTTCAAACGTAGGACCTATCGGTCTCGCGCACGAACTATTAACCTTTAGAGCTCTGAGCCGGCCGGCATCCAACGGTGTTAATATCTAACATCAAATAATCCACGAAATTGATCGACAAATCTACCACTGTCTTCAATGAGTTACCATCTCACAACAGACCTGGTTGAACTCCACTGGTCACTGCTTCTCACTAGAACCCCAGGAAATACCTCTTGAAGTCAGTCACTAGTGAAAATATGTTGATTAATATCAGACCAGGTTTGTCATGGTGGTCTAGCTCCAAATGATTCATGATCTCAACAATTTAAATTACTATAATATCCACAAAAACTTATTCTAATATTCGTCATATTGTATAATACGTTCAAAGTGTAAATAAATTATTGAAAACTTTTCAGAAATTTTCCTCAAAAAGTATATGGAAACAGAGGAGTTACAGAATGCTCAGAAATCTGTCGTGTTTAATTCATCTGAAGTGTAGAAATATAATTGACATTAGGGACAAATGTGCATTTTTTTAATAGTGAGAGTTTTCATCACTGGAAATGTGTGAATGACCATGAAGTTTTCTTTTAAAAAATTAACTCGACTAATCAATCCAGATATTTATTTATCATTTACCTTACAACCCTCACATGTTATTGCACCAAAATGGAATCCAGATGATTTGGCGCCACAAACACGGCATGGTATTTCTGATATATCAGTAACTGGAAACACCGCAGCTCCTATCGATTAATGGAAAAAAGACAAAACAAATTGATTAGACTAATTTTGAATAACCTCACTTCATTAGTCAGTTATAAACGTATTAAACATACTGTCATGAACGGAAACGAATAAATCGCAATCATAATAATATTATTCCACACTTTACAGCACAAACTGATCTTAGTTAGACGACCAATGAAAACGATGAATCAATAGACAGCTGTCTTATCACAGTATAGGATAAGTAAGAGGTACTCATACACGACCCCACTTGGAACGAACTAAAGACTTTGAGGACTCGAGCCAAGCCCTTAACCTTCAAACCAAAAAGCAGGCGTCCAACTGTCTACATGTTCAATTTCAGTTAATCCACGACTTTGCTTTAGAATTTTTTAATACCAGTAGTAAGTAACCGACTAATACTTGGTTTGTTTGAATTCCATTGGTCATAGCTTCATTCTAAAACCTCAAGACCTGCTAATCGAAATTATTAATAATTGAGTAAACGATTATTATTACTATAACGTGGATTTGTGCAGATTGTCGAACTTCATCGTTTAATAAAGATCAGTTTGAGGTTTAAACTATGAAATTCAACAAACTACATAAACCTTTCTACTTCAATGGTAATACTGTTAATGAATTAATGCACCTGTCTCACAGTGATCGATTTTCAAGTCTTGTATCATTTGTAATAAGAAATTCAATAGTGAAAGAGTGTAAATTATCCACGATATAAATCCCGAATATTCTGATGGTCAATTGAATCGAATATTTGCTTACCAAAAATCGCTGTTTTAAGTAATCAGCATACAATAAAGCTGTTCAAATTGATAATGAGTTGATCATGTCAATAATATTGTATAGACAAACCATCTTAAAATGTCATGTGTAAATTATATACGACTTTCTCAATAAATTTGTGATAATTAGAACTATTTGAATTATTATACAAACTCGGAATCCCAGAAATAAAGCAAATTAGACGAAGAAGAACCAGGCAGTCATCATATACAAAGGAATCATTGGTTCATACAAGCAATCCAAAATGACTTTTTTTCATCACCTTAATAGAATAAATGCCAGGTATTGAATTTACACAGACCAGCTATATTTCAAGTGCTAATAATCTGTCTGATTATATAATTTGTTACACCTCATTATATTTTCACGAATGATGAGATATGCTTAAGAAAATCTTGACGGGGATCACCCTAAATAGAACAACTGAAATTCAAGAAATATTAATTATTCAGTCATAATTAATGTCGAGCTCGAAATATATCTGAGTCGGCCTTAGTTGCCACACCATATTAGCACATCGAGATGATAATAACAAGATAAATGAGGTAATCGAAACCATACAAGAGTGATGATAATGTGAACGAATAAGCAACGGGAATACGGTTCGAAAAGACAAAGATAAAAGGTATTTATGAAAGAATGCTCGAATTCTTGATGCATAAGACTATAAGGAATCAGTGCATCTGCGCCATTCTAACAGGTATAAGCCATACCACCCAACGTCTCCAATTGGTGATCGCTTGGATCCCAACAACATGGCCCGCATCTGCTTACACGGCTCAATCCAATAGCAAATGTCTTCAGAGACCATTTCTGCATTTTGCCCCCCCCCAAAAGAAACTTTCTGTCTACTTAATCATAAAACAGTTAACATTGCCCGTTGAGACAGTTGGTTGTTAGGGGTGAGTGACACATATCCAAACCACCCCAGTAGATGATTTACAATATCTTCAACCGTTTTGTCATATTTGCCTAGTATCCTATACCTAACTTCAGCATTGTACATCCAATGTGAGTGATATATTGAAGACACCTATGATAAAAGCCTGAAGCCTATCCATGTTTAGAGTATTGGACAAGTGTTCTATCCTCATTCGAGATTAATAAACGGCAATGTACACATATAGGATCTTACATGAAATTACACTGAGAACATCAAATTCCTATTAATCATTCAGTCAGTCAGTAAAATTAGTCAATTTCAAATTTAACACAATCTTCACTGAATGTCATCACCAATAAATAACTGTTTCATACTTTAGTTGATGGACTCAACTAATTAATCATATTGGCTACTATTTCACACTCCAGCTTGTTCACCCCACCTCCAATAACCAATCATTTAGAGGTTCATGATGATTATTAATTCAGGTAATTTAATCTATAAGATAATAAACGCATGTCCAAACTTGCACCACAACATATGCACATTCAATATTAACCTTAATTATTTTTACCTGAGAAAATTTCATGATCTATCAACAATAATAATTATAATAACAAAAATGAAAGACTGAATTCCCATGCAGTGTACTTTATTTCTTTGAAAAGAAAAACCTACCCGACAAAGTTATAGAAACTAATCTATAAAAAGGATCAGTATGATGTGACAATCTGTTTATATGTTATATTGTGTAAATACACATGACAATAGATGATAATTCTTTAATCTTCGAACTATTATTTTATTATTTTCAATGTATGTATGTAAATGTAAGCTATTTTACTATCTTTTTAGAAGATCACGTTCTATGACATTTGTACACTTTCTTTTTTCAACTAATTACTATGATCGGGTATAATCTCTATGATTTCTAAATAGCCTAGTAAATATGACCATCAGGTGTATAGTTGAAATAATATTTTCTTTCTATTTTATTTATTTATTTACATATTTGGGTAATTTTGATGGTGTAAAAAAGAGAGAGAGGGAGAGTGGGAGAAGAGAAGTATTAAGTTTAAACTAATAGAAGCGTTATTATACATAATAGGTAGGATTTATTTGATGAATAAATAAGCACGTTTAACAGTCAAATGATTAATGAGTTTTTTTTATTATTATGCGGTAAATAGTATCATGATATGTATACACTTAATTAAATTTACATCCCTAGTTAATTTATTCAAATATATACAAAAGAAAATTAGATCCTTATTAAAGCCTAACATTTTCAAGAATATCCTATCAACTGAGCAATTTCATATCAGCCATTATGATAAATTCAATACTGAATATTAACAATGGAATTTCACAAACTCTTATGAATAAACGTTGTATAGGATTTTTTTAAAAAAGAAGCTAGTAGCTACGTTGGATTGAATAGCTTAGTTGAGTTTGAATTGGTGTTTGAATTGATAAGTATTAATTTCTAGTCTCTGTGTAAAAATTAATACAATAATAAGGTTCTATCCAGCTGATGAATCATATGTAGGACGAAATGCACTTCCTAGATTCTACTGATGATCACAAAGTAATCATTAAAAGTGTTTAATCATCCGCTTTGAGATAACTTATAGGTAACGATACTACTAGTCATTAGATTCTATTCCATTTTTATTCATAGTATGTGGTAAAATAGATTTGTGACTAGGTATTTTTTTTTTTTAAATTGAATTATCTTTCACTAAAGCAGTGTGGTATTATTAGCTACAAGAGAGAAAACAGAGAAATAAAGGTTTAAATTCAATTAAATATCACTTTCTACCAAACATCCATTAAATAAAAAGCTCTAATCTTCACTAGTAGACGTACATAATTGTGGAATATGACTGAAAATTATCAGCTATACTCAGATTTTAGGTAACAAAATGACTTTTATCGCTTGTTATGATGTATGTTTCTAGAGTTACATGTTCGACTTCCTTTTTTTTGTTTTGTTAGAGACTATTTCTCACAACTTATATAACATTACATTACTGTGAAACGAATCGAGGATATAACTCGACATAAGCAGATATCTGAAGCAAGTGTAGACAAAGAATGAATATTTTATGTGATTACCTATAAATCTTATTCAGAAAACTGATCACCTACAACCAATCTAAAGAGTAGATATTTATAACAATGAATACTGTGTAATAGACAAATAAAGTATTGATTTTTTTTTGGAAATGGTAATATAAATATTTATTCAAAATATAAATTTACTTACCCGGTAATACCATGCCTAATCGTATACACTTTTGATAACGACATCGCTGACAATGTGTACGTGTATCTTTATTGATTTCACATGTATTCGACTTGGTACATGTATATTTAGTGAAATTCTCTCCTTTTGAACTACGAATAAAAAATTTCTGTGATCAAGAAACAAAATTTGGGAAGAAAATTTATTCGAAGGATAATCGATATATATATATATATATATATATATAAAACTAGTCATATGCAACAAAGAACTTGACTTATATGGGTATCAGTTCGAGTTGCCACACTAAATAAACACGGCAAGATCCCAGAGTAGTAAACGTATTAACAGTATTAGTAGTAGAAAACACTAAGCATTGAGAAGTATATACGGATTCTCAAAATAAAAACATTTATCAGGTAATAAAATTAGGAGTAAACGGAAGACAATAGGTGAATGTAACTGTGTTATGGAGAACGAGTTTCTGTTTTATGTCACCCAAAGTTGAATCATTGGGTACGATAGTCACGCAGATATCACTCAGGTAGTATACATTTGCTAACGTGGCTAAGTTCAACAATTAATGACTTCATAGACATGTGAACTACTGAGGAATCCCATACTAGGAAAAATAACCGTCTACTGCTTCCAGATATTTAATGGTAGTTTAACATTAATCGGTTCATGCTTTTAATAAGATATGAAGTAGGCGTAAAATGTGGATATTTTATTGACAGTTCTAAAGTTTATACTAAAAATACTGAGAGAATAGAGAAATAAATTTTATGATGAGCACCATAATTTCAAATCATTGAGGTGAAAATTGTAATGTATCCGGCTGTTTTGTTCCCATTACAAAAAGCTAAGTGTTTTGGACCTCAACCAACAAATAACTACCATTATTCGAATTGGTTACTTCAGGTATATCTACTGACGGACCATATAATCTACAGACAACTTACCCATAGATATAAAAAACTTCGTTTATCAGTTAGAATGTCTACAGACTACATGATACGCTTAAATAACACATGAAAAACTTTTCACTGGTCTTGTTATAATTTATTAAGATAGCTAACTGAACTGGTGTAAAAACTTTTACTAAAGCACACTTGGGATGGAAATTATTAACTGATAAATAGCTATTCATTTTGTGTTGGGAATATAAAAACAGGTTACATATTCGTTTGTAACATTAATTTTGCTACATCGCATACATTCCCCCTGTAAAAAAAAGCTTTCATTATAATTTTTAAAAATCTCTCTGCGTATATCATATTTGTGGGCGAAATTTAAAGACATTACTATCTGTAAAGACCCTTGTGTTGGTCAAAGGGAAAAAAATTGTGAGGTGATAACCATAATTATTAATATAATCAACCAATCACATTTCTAATTCTCTAACCTTGTAACGGACAAAAAATAGTGTTGTGATTCATGGCATCCAATTAGAATTAACCAAACATTATTTAGTAATGGCAAACACCAGATAAATGATGTGATGATGACGACAGGAATAAAGAGATATATACACCAGAAGTAAAAACAAAATATAAAATCTAGTAGGTTGCAGACATAACAATGACGCGATAATATAAGATGAAAGGTAGGATTTAGAACAATCAAAAATGAAAACAGGTGGTAGATTACACGTAATTGAAACATATCAGAGACATTCGTAAATCGAAATATACCTGATTAGACATGCGAATTTACACATATGACGCATTGTGAATACAGACACACGGTGATTGTTCCTAAATTACCTAGAAAATTCAGTATAAGGAATTGTAGAGATTGAAATTAGACATTAACAGCGTTGGATACTGGCTCAGTAGTCTGGAGGTTAAGCGTTCGTGCACGAAGCTAAGGGTCCTAAATCCGAGTCCCTCGTGTGAGATCATGGATGCGCGCTGCCGGGGGTCCCATACTAGGGCGAAACAGCCATCCAGTGCTTTCAGGTTTTAACTTGTGTTTTAGCTTATATCAACTGATGATTCCAATTGTTTCCTAGTGCCCACTCAAAACATATAGATACAATTTATCGAAGGGATTAAATTAGTTCACTGCAGAGAAAGTAAAATGAACGACTTATTCTATAGAAATTGGCTTTTTAAATTCCCGTCTTTATTTGGCAAGTATGATCCGACTGCTTACCTTCCGGTTACATTTCCATATAAACAATTATTTATTATTTATGACGTAAACGTTGATAGGTTTCCATCTCACATACTAACATTATATACAGAACTATTCATAACCATGAACTATTGAACTAAATTACCTTCCGATTCGGGTCTAATATTATGCTCCTAATAATCAGTGATTGCACACGACTCCATATAGGATCAAACTCAGGACATTCCAGTTTTGCTTATTTAACCACTTATTTGACATAATCCTAATCACATTTCGTCGGTAATCTCTGACCATATTTCTAACCCGGTAAACTCCATAAATTGAGTTCTCCACAGAATTTCTCGAAATTCAACTGTAACACTAGATATCATACACAATTATCATTTATTCAGGGAGGTTTGTGTATAGTCTGAAAGCAACTTCCATTTAGAATCTGAATAGCTATGGAAGAACTAAATGTTTGTGATTCAAATCGACTTATCCAATTAAATAAATGGGTTAATCTAATCAAGGTTAGTGATATTTTTAATTCCACTTAAATAAAAAAATATGCACATTTTGTCTATTCAACAACTACACATATACTAAGCATATGCGAACAAAATCAACACCATATGTATAAATAAAAGATCAGTAGCAAAATGAAACGGATCCGAAGGGTGAATCGATTCATTCTCTGTATTTAATTACTTGATAGAATTTCTAACTAACTTAGATATAATTTTATCTCTACATTCGAACTAATAATTCTGAATAAATCAATAATTAATACATAAATGAAATCCAGTAATCAAATAATGACAGCTTGTGTATCGGTGATTTTAAAGAGTACTTTATATATATATATATATATATATATATATATATATATATATATATATATATATATATATATATATGTGTGTGTGAGGGCTTGTGGTAAAACTGCAAGTTAATAGTTATCTTTTCTGTAATATCCATTTAATAATAACAAAATTATGATGCCATAAGAAAATCACACAACTTTGGTTTAAATACACCCCATTGAAATAGTCATATCCACTTACTGATATATGCCAAAATGATTTGCAGATCGTTAACATATTTTTTCAAAGGATTTATCTCCCTCTTACTCAAAGTATTTAAGCGTTGACTATCGAAGACCGAATAATGAACCGACTTATTTTAAACAACTTTTTAACCTGTCTAGTAGCTAATCATTAAATAAGAATGGTTAGTGAAAGTAAGAAGGGAGTCAGATACATTTAATGCTAATGAATATTTATTAGAAAAGCTTGTCCGTAATTTTAAACAAAACTTATTCTTTCCTGATGATATTCAATTCCTTGTCATCTAATGAAGTAGTCAATGAATATACAACTGATTTTAATAGTATCAGCGGATTTGCTGCAGCATTATAAAGCATGTAGGCCGATGGGAGTTGACTCGTGTATCTTAAGCCAATAAACTATGTAAACGGAGGACATAAAACATAACACAATAAAATTTTAAAAGTTCTGTTTTTGATGATGATTGCACATTCAATATAATCGTTAAAAAATACACCATAAAACAGGTGACAATAAATTTAGTTCAGTTCTAGTGAGGATCTGTAACCAGTGGAACTGAACAACGTTGAACGTGAAAAAAAATATCACCGATGGAACTATATGATGATCGCAAAATATCGCAATTTACTGCAACTGAGACTGTTAGCCGTTGGGTGGTAATTGAGTGTCCTAGATATTAAGTACTTCATATGATGTTTGAAGATCCTGTATTAAAGATTGGATGTGTCCGTGTATGCTCACTGCCCAAGACTTCCGTACTAGAACTAGAAAGCTGTCCACTGACTTTTGGTTTTGAATTAGTCTGACAACAATCAATTCGTGACGTCAATTTCAGCAACAAAATATCTTAACAAACCGCCTAAACTAATAGAAAAAAAACCGTTGTGAAAGTTTCTCATCTTTCACAAATAAGGCAAATAAACGGCAATAGGATAATTTCAAAGATTAATGACACTGAGTCAGCATACATATTTATTAATCTATATCTATCAAATCACATTCATTTCATGATATTTCGATTATTTCGTTCCAACTGTACGTTTCCATTCTACTCGTCAACTGTTGCCATTTCATTCATTCCCATTCACAAGTCAACACTAATTATAATCATCAATCATTTCTTACTTAGATATTGTACTATCTACATTTCGTGATTTATTGCTTATCTTGTGTTGCGGAATTGTATTGTATTTCGTTTGTTGTATGTTGTACTTGATCACATGAGTTCTAAGTCAACTAACTAAATAACTAACTAACTAACTAACTGATAATACTAAATACTTGATTGTCTTCGCAATGTTCCAATGATGAAATTGGGAATGTTTGATAAATTCTGTGTGGTCAACTGACTTGACAGCTTATCTATCGAATGTAAAATAGTTCATTTACAAAACTAATCATTTATGTATATGAAAAGTGAAAGAAAATCATGTTGCCATCAAAATGTTTTCAGGGATTGATCAAAATCACGCAGTCCATTAGGAGGTGGTGTAATATCCTGTTTGATACCTGGACAAGCATAAGTTCAAACTTCCAAGTAGTCCAATACTAGAACGAATAAGCTCTCCAGCCGTTTCTGGTTTTCAATGGTACTCTATCTAAGATCATTTTTACAATCCATCAATATAGACTATAAATTAAATTGATCTCTATAAAACTCCTTCAGCTAAACTATTCATGAATTTGTTCAATTGTGTTCAGTTGTCCGATATTGAAACATTAAATCATGAATCCATTTTTTGAAAATTTCAAAATGATATCAATGACAGACATAACTAAATGTTGAAAATTGTATGAATACTGTAAATTCTTTATTCTTCTTTTTTCGATTATTTGATAATATTTTAGTTAGAAAACTATTAACTGTTGAGCATAGAAAAGGAATAATAATCATATAAATTTGATCTTCGATTCTCCAACTGATATCAGTCTATCATATCAAACTAACTTTCTCAATCCATATTCATTCATATTCTTCTAG